TTCTACCCATGTGTCAATGCAGCCATCCGAGTCGTCTTTAAACTCTTTTGATTTCTTGAACGTCTTCCTGGATTTACCACTTCCTCTTTCACTCGATTCAGTGTTCCTTGTCGCGATCGCTTCCAGTAACCTGTTCATCATTTCCCAGGTGCTTGCCCATGTCATGGCGTCAGGTGCTACATTAGTGTTCGTACTGGAGTCCTCTGGTGCATTGGTAGTGTTTGAGGTTCCACGCTTCATGATGGTCTTGGACCCCCAGCCCCTGTGCTCGTTGCAACCCGGGGTAACGGTGTAGACTCCCGTTTATTCCGTTGCGGTTCTATGAAGTCGACTCTGGTGCCTTGTGGTCTATCTGCTACCAGTTTGTCTTGCGCTGTAGAGTTTCTCAAGAGAGCATCCAGTTTCGACTGTATGGCAGAAGAACTTTCAGCTTGGTCATTGCTCATTGTTTCCAATCTCGTCTCTAGATTCCACAACTTTTCGTTCACAGTGTCGTACCATTGCTTCATTTCCTTCATATCCTTTTTGATATGTGGCTTTCGCTCTTTGTCGGTAGCCTCTACCTTGTCTGACATCTGCTGTAGCTTTTCTTCCGTCACCCTTGCCAGGTTGAAGCAGTTGTGTGGATTCTCGGATTGGATTCTGTTGTTATTGCGGAAACTGTTCCGAATGTTTTGCTTTTATCGTTCGTCGGTACCACCTCCTCTTTTTCTTTTGGTTTCAATCCGACCATTGCTGCAATCCTCTCTGTGAACGACGTTCTTTTTGTTTGAGAATCGTCTTTTATCGTTTCCGGTGTGTTGCCTGTTGTGTCCTCTACAGAATCAATTGGTGAAATTAATATCGTCTTCTTTTCCTGTTCTTCCGCATTCGGCATTGGTGTTGGTTCCGTTGTCTTCCTTTCCACCTCGTCAACACTCTGATCTGGTGTCTCAATATCAATTTCTACAGCAGGTACCGTTGGTCCATCCACAGCGCTTTCTTTCGTTTTGTGTTCCTTCACGCATTTTGTATTGACCATGTTCACTGAAATGTTTTTTCTCCTTACTTTCGGATTCGATAGTGTTGCTTTCCGTTGTGACAAATTATGATTCTGCCTATGTTTTGGTAGTCTGTTTTCTGCTATCGGTACCCTACTTCGCTTCATGATTTTTATTTACAAATTTCTTCATTTACAATTTCAATATTTAGAAGTTCCTATTCTAAAATTTGAAAAAAAAAAATTTAAAAATTTTTTTCCTAATTCTTGTATGAAAAAATCATTCGAGTTCGTAATCCTAATAGTGTGGACTCTTAGCTGTTTTTGGTCATTCTGAGTGTTCTTGGTGCTTTTACCCAAGTGTTGGGTCACTTCACACTATCCCAGGACGTCTTCTAACTCTCTTAGTACCCTATGCTCAAGTGTTGGGACACCTCGCACTGTCCCATGACCTCTTCGTTATAGGGTCGGGACGCTTAACACTGTCCCAAGACTTTTGGTTCAGGTGCTGGGACACCTCGCACTGTCCCAAGACCTCTTTGTTCTATTGTTGGACCTAGTACTATCCGAAGACCTCTCACTCAAGTGTTGGGACACTTCGCACTGTCCCATGACCTCTCTGTACAAGTGTTGGGACACTTCGCACTGTCCAAGACCTCCCACTCAAGTGTTGGGACACTTCGCACTGTCCCAAGGCCTCCCACTCAAGTGTTGGGACACTTAGCACTGTCCCAAGACCCTTCGTCCAAGTGTTGGGATACTTCGCACTGTCCCAAGACCTCCCACTCAAGTGTTGGGACACCTCGCACTGTCCCATGACTCTCTGCTCTAGTGTTGGGAAACTTCGTACTGTCCCAAGACCCCTCACTCAAGCGTTCGGACACCTCGCACTGTCCCATGACTCTCTGCTCTAGTGTTGGGAAACTTCGTACTGTCCCAAGACCCCTCACTCAAGCGTTGGGACACTTCGCACTGTCCCAAGACCTCCCTGTTCAAGTGTTGGGACACTTCGCACTGTCCCAAGACCTCCCACTCAAGTGTTGGGACACTTAGCACTGTCCCAAGACCTTCCACTCAAGTGTTGGGATATTTAGCACTGTTCCAAGACCTCCCACTCAAGTGTTGGGACACTTCGCACTGTCCCAAGACCCTCCGTCCAAGTGTTGGACAGTCGGATCTCTTCTGTTTTGGGACAGTCGGATCTCTCGTTCTTTAGTTTCGGGATAGTCGGATCTCTTGTTCTATAGTGTTGAGACACCTAGATCACTGTCCCTGGTTCCACCACTTGAGCTCTAGTTTTAGAAAAAATCTCCCCAAAACCCAATCTTACTAACCAAAAAATTTACCTACTAGCCCCCCTGAAATTGCCTCCCCTTATCAATCCGATGAAAGTCGACACACGACTTGTTAGCTAGTGTCTTGTGATCACCTATTCGTCAAAAGCCGATAAAAATGTATTCGAAATTTAAAAAAAAATTTAGCGAGAAAAATTGATGAAAAAAAGAAAGATGAGTACACCCAACCTTCTTTTGGGTGGTGAGTGGTGGAACCTTCTTTTGATCCAGTTTACCACTTCGCTGGGCACCTCTTCCGGTCAGGTCCCCCAATGGTCCGCTGATATGACAAGCTACCTGAAAGCCTTAAAACGCCCCACACTCGGGCACCTGTACAACTTTGCTAACTTGATCGAGGATTTTTTCAGTTGCTGCGACAAACTTGAGCATGATATGGCGAATTCTAAATTTTCAAAAATTTTTATTTCTCCCATAATCAAGATAAAAGTTCCAAATATGACCGACTGGCGCAAATATAAAGCTATTGGCCTAACCGCGCAATTTAATTAGTTGAATGCTAAAATAGTGAGCTCATGGTTAAGCGTTAGTATCCCCAGACCACGACGTCACTCAAAAAATCAGGGCTACGACATTATTATCATATTAATAATAATTTTGTTCAGTAGATAAAAATCACCTTGTGCATTGAATAAAGATCAGCCCTGTCCCTGAATTCTTAGCTTCTTTCTATTTGAAAATGACTTTGATGTTAATTTAAATTCAATTCAGGCCATTCCGTGAAGCTAAAACTTGTTAAAAATGCAATTTGCAGTCTCTCACTGAAACTCTTCCGATTTCCTGAATCCGGTCAAAGAGCTGTCTTCTTGTCGACCAGGAAGTGTAAGAAAATCCTCCTAATTGCCCTCCTGATTCTCGGGAATTGGCCCGTAACAATTGTAGCTGTACAATCGTTACAACTCAGAGTGTTCTTCCGTAAAAATCCTTGAATATGACTTCAATACTTTTCTTTATAGCTCGTACCTCTATGCTTTGATTTTTGCGGCTTTTTAGTTGCCGCTTAATTTCAAGGTCGGGACGTGTCTTTACTAATGAACCTTTGTTAAAATGAAAAGAAAAGCTGACCCCTATCAAATCGTTCAATTGAATTATTAACGCTCCTAATCACTCAAAACAGCTAATTTTCTCCATTAAACATCTTTTTCTAAATATAATCAGAAGGTCAAAAGTATCATAGTAACCGAGGTTACAGTCTCGAGTCTGCAACAGTCGCCTACTTAAGTCACATATGAGGTTAAAAAAAATAGGCCCTATTACCATTGGCTCAAGAGTCAGGGATACTATCTTTTGTGTTTTTCTACCTCGAACGGTCGGAGCCAATTCGGTTCACTTGCGACATGAGACTAAAACCTTTGTTACAGCTTAAAGGCCACTACCAAAATACCCCCACTCTAGAAAATTAGAACGGCCCCATACTTAGGTCTCAAAATACCTAAAACACGCGAACGCCGTTAAAAACAGGGTCGGAACAATCCATATAGCTAGTTTTTTATTAGACAGTGGACCTTTGATCCATTTCAGATGGATCAACCTAAACCTCTCCTTACCTCAGCATAACAATATAAAACACACTCAAGAAATTTAAATTGGGTACTCACATACCCGCACACTCTCTAGAATTGAGTAACTAACTTAATGAGTAACTCTAGAACAATTGGTAATCAAGTTTAATTCGAGGAGTTTTAAATGAATGAGTTTTAGCTTGAAAAATAAGTTTTTGGTCTGGACCATTGGGCAACTTAGGTTCTTCTGATCTTATTTTCTGATATTTTCAGTTGTCGCGAGAATCTTGAGCATGACATGCTCAATTTGAATTTTTGAAAAATTCTATTTCACCCCAAAATGTCTTTTGCGTTGCTCAAGGTCAAACTTCCAACTATGACTGACTGGCACAGTCCCTTCCTCACATCCAGTCAAAATTTTCGGAGAAATTTATAGATATAGAAGAGTAAATTGTAATGTGGATAGAAGTAAAGAGAGTAATGTGGAAAAAAGTATATAGTTGGGAATCAAGTCAACCAGTTTGAGAAAACTAACACCTGCACAGAATAAACCGGAGTTGAAAGTGACTCAAAAAGACTGACCTGATATGACGCGGACGGTCTATCATATCCTTATATAAAGCTGCACTATTGTTCCAATAGCTCTACAAATTAGAAATTTGTTCGAAAGTAGTTTTTATCATTAGTGTCGAGTACACAGACTGCGTTTGCAACCTGTATTTCTAGGGCGACTCTCTGCTTAAGAAAACTACCTGCCCTAGGCTTCTCGGCACACGTGCGCAAGTTCTTACAAAGCTTGTGCAGAAAAACTTCATTGATAGGGCCGGCGGCACCCTGAACTTCAAAAGCTATTGGTTAAAAAATATATCCATCATTAATTAAATCTCTCTATTTGTCAGATTTTCGATCTTCCGCCGCGCCAGTGCCGGGGTTTTGTATGACCCGATATGACATGCATTTCAGTCATTCTGGTCGAATGTCACATCTAGCAATGCACCTACACTTCATATTTAATCGACGATTTTTAATCAATAAAGTGTTTCTTTTTCTCCGCCTGGAAGCATTGAATGCCAGTAATGATTCTTGCCGGTCGCAAGCCCGTTTAAAGGAGGAGGGTTGGTGATAGGAAGAGCATCCAGCCGTGAAACTCCGCTTAACCAACTGATTCATGAATACGCCAATGATGATTTTTTTTAAAGATTAAGATGGATGCTGTTGTGCTAAAAGTGTTGAGTGAAAACGAAGTCATTCCCGATACACGAGTTTTTGCCAAAAACAATGGGAAGAAACACCAAGAAATTGTTGGAGTTATGAAAAGTCTTCAGTCACTGGGTGATATAATCGCAACTAAAGAGTTATCAGAGGAAAAATGGATTTTAACCGATGAAGGTTCTAAAACATTGTCTTCCGGCAGCTTAGAAGCAAGATTGTTTCAATGCGTGTCAGAAAATGGTTCACAGCTGGATGAGCTTAAAAAGTCTTTCGAGGGTTTTAGTGTTGCTTTTGGAAAAGCAACGTCAAAAAAGTGGATCTCGCTTGATAAAGCGTCTGGAATGGTCACAAAGAACCTTGACTGCATAGTTGATGATGTACAAAAGGATCTTGAGTCGCTGAATCTGGGAGAAAATATACCTCAGAAGACACTGGACGATTACAAGAAACGAAAGCTTATAGAGAAGAGAATTGAGAAGTTTTATGAGATCTCGAAGGGACCAGGATTCTCTTTAGAAACAGAAAAACTTGCTACTGATCTAACAACTGAAATGATAATAAGTGGGGCCTGGAAATCTCAAGCGTTCAAAGCATATAACTTTTCAGCGAACGGGCGCTTGCCTGACTCAGGTCATTTGCATCCCTTAATGAAGGTACGGAGTGAGTTCCGACAAATTTTTCTCGAGATGGGATTCTCAGAGATGCCAACTAACAATTTCGTGGAGAGTTCCTTCTGGAATTTTGATGCACTATTTCAACCTCAGCAACATCCTGCACGAGATGCACACGATACTTTCTTTGTGAGCCAACCTGCGCAATGTAACAAGACTCAAATACCAGCGGATTACATGGAAGCGGTTAGTAAAGCTTTTAGTAGAAACGAGAAATCTGCTGAATAGTTACTAGTTTTTTATGCCAAAATTTAAGGGTACACTCCATGAAAACCGAACAGGGAGAGTTCGCTGATAAGGCGACTGCTTTTCCTACCTTCTATTTACTGCCATGCTTTTCTTTGGATACACTTGTGTTATGGCTCAGATGAGGCCGATAACATAAGGGTCAGATAAGGCCGATAACATATTGAAGCCTATAACCCTGATCTATACATGGAAACTTGTGTTATTTTTGCCACTCCGATTGTTTGACCGGGTATTACAAGGGTGTTGCAACGAGGTTCTAGACTTTTTATGGTAAAAAGTTTGTTCACAGAATTTGCACGTAAAAATTTGCAACCGGGTATTAGAAGTTTTCCTCAAACAACTTAGTTCCGAATATTTCGCTGATCAATCAACCACCCATCGCATCTGGCATAGAGGTAGGACACCTGCTTGAGACGGCAAAGGCATGTGATTCCAATCCGGCCGGGACCTTTTTTTTAGCCAGAAATTATTATTTTTTTTTACTATTGTCCGTCTGTTTATTTTTTTTCGGCTTATTTACCGAAGCACAAACTCTTTTTGAAAGTTCAGCTTTCTTAATTCCTGAATGCCATTTCTAAAGCCCTATTTGTGGTGACAATTGGATTACTAGATCTTTTGCTCAAATTTAGTTTCATTTTTTTGAATTTTTTGATAAAACTTTTTTAACGCTTGCGATTAGCAAGCGTTAACAAACCAGAATTTTTTTTTTTCGGTTTATCAACTAGTTTAACAGAATCTTTCGTATCATTCTACCTTTTTTGGGTTAGCAACTAGTTCAACAGAATCACTTATATCATTTTGGCTCACATGAAATCAAAAGTCAGTCTTTAATTTGCGCATGTGGCAAAGAGGTAACGCACCTGCCTATAAAGACAAAGGTCAATGTCAATGGTTTGAATCCGGCCAGGACCTGTTTTTTTTGCAAGCGGAAAAATGTCCGCGCTTTGAAAAATCTTGTTTGTCTGCTTTTTGTTGACTTTATTACTGCAGCGCCAAATTTGCCTAAAATTTGGGCATTTTTACTCGAATTTTCCGGTTTAGGGCTAGTAATTAGTTCCAAGGAATTTTGCCCATTTTTGGTTTTTTTTCATGCTGTGCATTAAAAGTTTCTGATTTTTTTATTACGCTTGCAAACTGGAATAGACTTTTTTCGGGACCATAACTTGTTTAACAAATCAGTTGAATCACTTCTTTTCATTTCTGTTCTTATCTTCTCGTCACTTCTCTTCTTATCTTTTCTTAACTCTTTCCAGGTTGCTTCTCCCTTGGCCTGGAGGTAAAGCAGTTGCCTTTGTACTCTACGGTCTGGAGTTCGAGTCTTGGCCGGATCTTGTTTTTTTTCAGTATCAAAGAAAATGTAAAAGAAAAATCCCAGAAAAACGAATAGTTGGTTTTTTGTTTGTTCGCTCAGGATTTGTCGTCTAAATTGCCACAAAACGGATTATGCTTATTCCTTGTAGTTGCAAGTGCAAATGTTGTTCATTCTAATTTCAAGGGGGGACTTTGAAGATTAAAAAAAATTATCATTATTTTTTTTTTGGTTTAGTTGATATCTGCTCAAAAATGGTCGACTTAGTTGCTTAATCACTGATATTTTTTGCTGTAGGTAACTTTCATTGCAGTTGCAAGTGCAAGTGCTGTTCATTCCAGTTTGAAGGGGGAATTGAAAGATTTTAAAAAACCAAAAAACCATTTTTTTCGGTTCAAGTGGTTTCAGCTCAAAGATTGTTGGCTTAGTTGCCACATCACTGATTTTTTTTTGTGCTATGCGACAACTCTCCCAAGTTCGATTTCTGTCGGGAGCTGTTTTTTGTCAAAACTGAAAATTTTAGATTATTCTAGACTTTCGTGTCTGCTAATTGTTGTCGGCTTAGGTCCCACAGAAATATATCTTGAGCATTTTCTTCATTTAAAATACTCTATTAAAAATTTGTTTTCTACGTTGTTTTTAATTTTACCAATTTCGGTTCGGTAAAATTAGAGAAGTTTCGTTTTCATTTGTTTTTCTTATTTTTTGTTTGCTCGGCTTTAAAGTTTTTTTGTTAAAGTTAATCGGCTGAGTGGCATCATATTGCATCGGTGGCCGAGTGAAACAAGTTGCTTATGCGTGTGAGTTTTTTGAAGGGGTAATTCAATATTTTTTGAAAGTTATCATGTTTTTTATGCAATTTTTTTAAAAACATTTTTGAAAAAAAAAAACGATTTTTTTAAAGTTTTTTCTCTGTTTGATTTGTCTTTTCATTTTCTGCTAATCATAGTCTTAATTTTTTGTATAGCAAGCAAACGAAGCTCCTCTATAAAAAGTTTTCTTTTTTTTGTTCCGATCGTTAAAGTGCATTGAATTATTACATGCAATAATTGTGATCGCGATTAGCAAGCGTTATCAATTCGGAACGTAAACTTATTCTTGTTAACAAGTTGTCCTATAAAATCACCAAATACTTATCTGAAATCAGCATTTTTCTCAACCAATAGATATATTTTGAGCATTTTTTCATTTAAAATACCTACTCTAATAAAATTTTGTTTTCTACGTTGTTTTTAATTTTATTCAATTTCGATTTAGTCTTGGCTCTGCTGGTGTCTGCTCAAGTTTTTCGGCTTTAAAACTGCTTTTTTTCTATGCTAATATAACTTCCATTTTTCTTATTCGCCGTGTTTTTTTGTAAAATGAATTCATTCAAGAAAAAGGTATGAAAGTAAAAGTAGATCTAGCTGTTGTCGACATTTTCAAAACTTTTTTTGACATAGCAGCTTTTGTCTCAATTTCAGTCTACTTTTGGTCATGGTGTTTGTGTTTTATCGAAATTTGTGTGAATTTTTGGTCGACTTCGTTACCGCAGAACAGGCGCGGATCTAGGAATTTCTCGAGGGGGTGGGGGCTTAATTTCAAAAAAAAAATTGAAAATTTTTTCGATTTTTTGTTTAGGTCGACCAAATTGATTTTCTGAGCTCTCCTCAAAGCACTATAAAGGCCCTAATTTGACCAAATTTTCTGCGACGCAGGCAAATTTTGAAAAAAAAGCAGGCCAGAAAAAGCATTTTTAGGCATTTTTGGGAAATTTTCACCAAAAAATCTCGTTTTTTCGGCGCGCGCTTCTCTTTAAAATTAGTATATATTGGCGCCAAAGGAGCCCTTGGAAAAATTTTAGGGTCCGTCAGCCAAAAATGGATATCTCAAAATAGTATTAAGGGGGACCCTTTAGGTCGGCACGGGGTCGAATCCCTGAGGGGGGGGGGGCGTCCGCGCCCCTTAATCCGCTACTGCCGCAGAAGGGACTTTTTTGAAGTTCACATCTGTGTAGCCTTCCTAATGTCATTTGTAAATGTTCTGAAAGTGCAAATAATTTAAGATTTTCTGCAGTTTTATGTATAGGCTGAAAAACGATTTTTTGATTTGTCGATTTATCTGCACGTTTTTATTTTTATTCATTTTTTTTTATCGCAAATGATGCAAAGATAAGCTTCGCTTAGTTGTGTACGCTGGCGATTAGCAAGAATTATTCAATTGGAACCTTGAGTTTTTTAGGCAAATATCTTGTGTCCATAATACTCCGTCTTTTGACTAACTGAATCGTTTCACCAGCCTCGACGAAAACCTTAGCCAATCAACTTCTCTTGAGCTTGTGCGCATTCTAAATGTCCGTTCGTTCTGTCTTCAGTAGTTATGTCGGCTTTAATTTCACAAATTCGATTTTTTAAAGGTTTTTCCGCGTTAAAGGTTCACTCAACTTCGTTCTGTTTTTGTTATTTCGTTTACGCAAGTATTTTGGGTTCAGTTGCCGCACGGTTAATGTTTCTGAATGCTTACATAATGTGTTAGGTTGTGTTTCTCGGCATGTTTGCTTCAAATTGAACAGTAAGCGAGACAAACACTAGAAAATTTACTACCTGAAGATTTTTGATTTTTTCTCAAATTTGTTTCGATTCAGTTGCTTCTTTTTCATTTAACTCAGCTGGTTTGCAGTGCTTTGTTTGTTGTACCGCAAATATTGCGAAACTTTGTTTTGCCTTTGTGTTACATTGGCGTTCGGTCCACCGTGTCATTTGCGCCACGCGTTTGACGGTAAATCGTCAATTTTGCCAAATTAATAAATCGTATTGTTAATTGCTTCATCTTCGACCAGAAACTCCAGTCAGAATATCAGGTTTTTGTCTAAATGTTGCTCTTTTGCGAGAACCGATTGCCCTCAATTGAGGTCATAATTGACCTGAGAAGTATGAAAAACAAAAATTAATCATAATCGGATAATTTATAAGTTAGTAAACTGATAATCGTTAAGTTAGGTTTGAAACTGCATTTTGGTTCCCCGTTTTTCCCCCGGGTAGTAGACACGGGTAGTTTCAACCGGGTAGTAGACACGGGTAGTTTCAACCGGTTAGTAGACACGGGTAGTTTCAACCGGGTAGTAGACACGGGTAGTTTCAACCGGGTAGTAGACACGGGTAGTTTCAACCGGGTAGTAGACACGGGTAGTTTCAACCGGGTAGTAGACACGGGTAGTTTCAACCGGGTAGTAGACACGGGTAGTTTCAACCGGGTAGTAGACACGGGTAGTTTCAACCGGGTAGTAGACACGGGTAGTTTCAACCGGGTAGTAGACACGGGTAGTTTCAACCGGGTAGTAGACACGGGTAGTTTCAACCGGGTAGTAGACACGGGTAGTTTCAACCGGGTAGTAGACACGGGTAGTTTCAACCGGGTAGTAGACACGGGTAGTTTCAACCGGGTAGTAGACACGGGTAGTTTCAACCGGGTAGTAGACACGGGTAGTTTCAACCGGGTAGTAGACACGGGTAGTTTCAACCGGGTAGTAGACACGGGTAGTTTCAACCGGGTAGTAGACACGGGTAGTTTCAACCGGGTAGTAGACACGGGTAGTAGACACGGGTAGTTTCAACCTGGTAGTAGACACGGGTAGTTACAACCGGCTAGTAGACACGGGTAGTTTCAACCGGGTAGTAGACACGGGTAGTTTCAACTGGGTAGTAGACACGGGTAGTTTCAGCCGGGTAGTAGACACGGGTAGTTTCAACCGGGTAATAGACACGGGTAGTTTCAACCGGGTAGTAGACACGGGTAGTTTCAACCGGGTAGTAGACACGGGTAGTTTCAACCGGGTAGTAGACACGGGTAGTTTCAACCGGGTAGTAGACACGAGTAGTTTCAACCGGGTAGTAGACACGGGTAGTTTCAACCGGGTAGTAGACACGGGTAGTTTCAACCGGGTAGTAGACACGGGTAGTTTCAACCGGGTAGTAGACACGGGTAGTTTCAACCGGGTAGTAGACACGGGTAGTTTCAACCGGGTAGTAGACACGGGTAGTTTCAACCGGGTAGTAGACACGGGTAGTTTCAACCGGGTAGTAGACACGGGTAGTTTCAACCGGGTAGTAGACACGGGTAGTTTCAACCGGGTAGTAGACACGGGTAGTTTCAACCGGGTAGTAGACACGGGTAGTTTCAACCGGGTAGTAGACACGGGTAGTTTCAACCGGGTAGTAGACACGGGTAGTAGACACGGGTAGTTTCAACCGGGTAGTAGACACGGGTAGTTACAACCGGGTAGTAGACACGGGTAGTTTCAACCGGGTAGTAGACACGGGTAGTTTCAACCGGGTAGTAGACACGGGTATTTTCAGCCGGGTAGTAGACACGGGTAGTTTCAACCGGGTAATAGACACGGGTAGTTTCAACCGGGTAGTAGACACGGGTAGTTTCAACCGGGTAGTAGACACGGGTAGTTTCAACCGGGTAGTAGACACGGGTAGTTTCAACCGGGTAGTAGACACGAGTAGTTTCAACCGGGTAGTAGACACGGGTAGTTTCAACCGGGTAGTAGACACGGGTAGTTTCAACCGGGTAGTAGACACGGGTAGTTTCAACCGGGTAGTAGACACGGGTAGTTTCAACCGGGTAGTAGACACGGGTAGTTTCAACCGGGTAGTAGACACGGGTAGTTTCAACCGGGTAGTAGACACGGGTAGTTTCAACCGGGTAGTAGACACGGGTAGTTTCAACCGGGTAGTAGACACGGGTAGTTTCAACCGGGTAGTAGACACGGGTAGTTTCAACCGGGTAGTAGACACGGGTAGTTTCAACCGGGTAGTAGACACGGGTAGTTTCAACCGGGTAGTAGACACGGGTAGTAGACACGGGTAGTTTCAACCGGGTAGTTTCAACCGGGTAGTAGACACGGGTAGTTACAACCGGGTAGTAGACACGGGTAGTTTCAACCGGGTAGTAGACACGGGTAGTTTCAACCGGGTAGTAGACACGGGTAGTTTCAGCCGGGTAGTAGACACGGGTAGTTTCAACCGGGTAATAGACACGGGTAGTTTCAACCGGGTAGTAGACACGGGTAGTTTCAACCGGGTAGTAGACACGGGTAGTTTCAACCGGGTAGTAGACACGGGTAGTTTCAACCGGGTAGTAGACACGAGTAGTTTCAACCGGGTAGTAGACACGGGTAGTTTCAACCGGGTAGTAGACACAGGTAGTTTCAACCGGGTAGTAGACACGGGTAGTTTCAACCGGGTAGTAGACACGGGTAGTTTCAACCGGGTAGTAGACACGGGTAGTTTCAACCGGGTAGTAGACACGGGTAGTTTCAACCGGGTAGTAGACACGGGTAGTTTCAACCGGGTAGTAGACACGGGTAGTTTCAACCGGGTAGTAGACACGGGTAGTAGACACGGGTAGTTTCAACCGGGTAGTAGACACGGGTAGTTACAACCGGGTAGTAGACACGGGTAGTTTCAACCGGGTAGTAGACACGGGTAGTTTCAACCGGGTAGTAGACACGGGTAGTTTCAGCCGGGTAGTAGACACGGGTAGTTTCAACCGGGTAATAGACACGGGTAGTTTCAACCGGGTAGTAGACACGGGTAGTTTCAACCGGGTAGTAGACACGGGTAGTTTCAACCGGGTAGTAGACACGGGTAGTTTCAACCGGGTAGTAGACACGGGTAGTTTCAACCGGGTAGTAGACACGGGTAGTTTCAACCGGGTAGTAGACACGGGTAGTTTCAACCGGTTAGTAGACACGGGTAATTTCAACCGGGTAGTAGACACGGGTAGTTTCAACCGGGTAGTAGACACGGGTAGTTTCAACCGGGTAGTAGACACGGGTAGTTTCAACCGGGTAGTAGACACGGGTAGTTTCAACCGGGTAGTAGACACGGGTAGTTTCAACCGGGTAGTAGACACGGGTAGTTTCAACCGGGTAGTAGACACGGGTAGTTTCAACCGGGTAGTAGACACGGGTAGTTTCAACCGGGTAGTAGACACGGGTAGTTTCAACCGGGTAGTAGACACGGGTAGTTTCAACCGGGTAGTAGACACGGGTAGTTTCAACCGGGTAGTAGACACGGGTAGTTTCAACCGGGTAGTAGACACGGGTAGTTTCAACCGGGTAGTAGACACGGGTAGTTTCAACCGGGTAGTAGACACGGGTAGTTTCAACCGGGTAGTTTCAACCGGGTAGTAGACACGGGTAGTTTCAACCGGGTAGTAGACACGGGTAGTTTCAACCGGGTAGTAGACACGGGTAGTTTCAACCGGGTAGTAGACACGGGTAGTTTCAACCGGGTAGTAGACACGGGTAGTTTCAACCGGGTAGTAGACACGGGTAGTTTCAACCGGGTAGTAGACACGGGTAGTTTCAACCGGGTAGTAGACACGGGTAGTAGACACGGGTAATTTCAACCGGGTAGTAGACACGGGTAGTTTCAACCGGGTAGTTTCAATCGGGTAGTAGACACGGGTAGTTTCAACCGGGTAGTAGACACCGGTAGTTTCAGCCGGGTAGTAGACACGGGTAGTTTCAACCGGGTAGTAGACACGGGTAGTTTCAACCGGGTAGTAGACACGGGTAGTTTCAACCGGGTAGTAGACACGGGTAGTTTCAACCGGGTAGTAGACACGGGTAGTTTCAACCGGGTAGTAGACACGGGTAGTTTCAACCGGGTAGTAGACACGGGTAGTTTCAACCGGGTAGTAGACACGGGTAGTTTCAACCGGGTAGTAGACACGGGTAGTTTCAACCGGGTAGTTTCAACCGGGTAGTAGACACGGGTAGTTTCAACCGGGTAGTAGACACGGGTAGTTTCAACCGGGTAGTAGACACGGGTAGTTTCAACCGGGTAGTAGACACGGGTAGTTTCAACCGGGTAGTAGACACGGGTAGTTTCAACCGGGTAGTAGACACGGGTAGTTTCAACCGGGTAGTAGACACGGGTAGTTTCAACCGGGTAGTAGACACGGGTAGTTTCAACCGGGTAGTAGACACGGGTAGTTTCAACCGGGTAGTAGACACGGGTAGTTTCAACCGGGTAGTAGACATTTCCCCCGTAAATAACTTTGTTCACAGGATGCCTCAGATTGGTGGTCAAATCCTTCAAATCTGTATTTTGGTCAGCTAACAGACAAATTTTGAGCTTGTGTTCATTTTAAATGCCAGTTCCATTCAAAACCGATTTTTTGTGAGAGTCGATGAACTCTTATATAGATCTTTGTGATTTTTTTGTTTTAAATTTTTAAAGTGCACTTCATTTATTTTAATGAAAGGAAGGAAAATTCAAATATTGAGCAGTTTTTTAGAAATCCCAGCGGACTAAAAGCTTTACCTATTGATCCAGTTTTCTCTAATTGAGTTAATTTAATCAAAAATGTACGAAATTTTCGGTAGATAAATTTTGAGACATTATTCAAAAAAAATTGTCTCATTTTCTGTCAGTTAGGTTGCCATGCTATTTTTTGTTATATTGAAAGTGATGTGAAGCTTCGCTTCGCCACTTTGTCATAATAGTACACCACATGGTCTTTTTGTTTCCACATTGTCTCTCTGTTTCTACATTGTCTCTCTGTTTCCTTTTTGAGGTTGGAAGGATTTTTCCGCTGTTCTTTGCACAGTTAGGTACCACGAAACAGGCTTACGAGGTTGAAGCATATTTTATTTTGCAGACGTTTCAGTCGTAATTCGAGCTATTTTCCAAAAATTTTGAAGCAATTATTGCGGTGCCGTGAAAAAATTGTCTTAATGTGTTAGTTTTCCAACCAGCTCAGACAGAACTATGCACAATTCTTGACTTCTGGCGATGGCCAAATAATCTTCAATTAACTTGTAGTTTTTAAGCATCAGTTCGCGCCTCCTTCAAACTAAAAGAAGTTGTTATTCTGAAAAATCAAATATTAAAGAACGTCGTAATTTGCTGTGATAATCGTGGATGAAATTTTCAGTGCTACTTGCAGATCAGCTGGCCATGTTTGATAAATTTATAAAGGTTGCTTAGGTGAAGAAAATGCATTCGGAAGGAGGATCAGGATCGATAGGGTACCAATACGACTGGAGTGAAGAAGAGGCACTGAAGAACCTTCTGAGAACTCACACAACTGCAGTGTCATCACGCATGTTGTACAAATTGGCACAGAAAACGAAATCAACTGGAAAGTTCGAGCCAGTTAAATTGTTCTCAATCGACCGTGTGTTCCGAAATGAGACCTTGGATGCAACGCATTTGGCCGAATTCCATCAAATCGAAGGCTTAGTTGCGGATTATGATTTGACCTTGGGGAATCTCATTGGAATGTTGTACGAGTTCTTCAATAAACTTGGAATCAAGAATCTCAGATTCAAGCCTGCGTATAATCCATACACTGAGCCCAGTATGGAGGTCTTTAGTTTCCACCCAGGGTTGAAAAAATGGATCGAAATTGGTAATTCTGGAATTTTCCGACCCGAAATGCTAATACCAATGGGTTTGCCCGAAGACGTTTCAGTCATTGCGTGGGGACTATCACTTGAACGACCGACAATGATTAAGTATAAGCTGGACAACATTCGAGATTTGTGTGGTCACAAAGTTAACCTTCAGATGGTGTATGACAACCCGCTTTGTAGAATTGAGAAGCATTAAAATGTACTTAATTAAATATTGCCTGACAGATAAAATATTGACTTGGAAGGGAAATAACTAAAATTGTAAATTTCTATTTGGCTTGATAAAAATTTTGCAAATTTTGTGTCTGCTACAATTTGAAAAATAGTTCAGCTGGTTTTTTGTTGCATGTCTTAATATTTGAAAGTGTTATTACCCTTACGATAAGCAAGGCTATTGTTTACGTAGTTCACAGGAATCATCTGGACTCCTGGTGATACCTTGGCTCATAATGAATTTGAACTTTTTAGTGTCTGCTGCTCACTTAGCCGTGAAGTAACGAATACGCTTAGGATGATTAGGGTCCTGGTGTTAAATTGGTATTTACGTACTTAATTAAATATTGCCTGACAGATAAAATATTGACTTGGAAGGGAAATAACTAAAATTGTAAATTTCTATTCGGCTTGATAAAAATTTAGCAAATTTTGTGTCTGCTACAATTTGAAAAATAGTTCAGCTGGTTTTTTGTTGCATGTCTTAATATTTGAAAGTGTTATAACCCTTACGATAAGCAAGGCTATTGTTTACGTAGTTCACAGGAATCATCTGGACTCCTGGTGATACCTTGGCTCATAATGAATTTGAACTTTTTAGTGTCTGCTGCTCACTTAGCCGTGAAGTAACGAATACGCTTAGGAAGATTAGTGTCCTGGAGTTGAATCTGACTAGGACCTGCTTTTTTTCAAACGGTTAAGATTCCGATTCAAAAAAATTTTGGTCTAATATTTGTTTGCTTAAATTTTTTCGGCTTAGTTGTCTTATCTAAGAACCGTTTTGTTTTGCTGTAAACAGTTTTCACTGTAGTTGCTATAAGTGTTCGAGCATTTCATAAATCCGGCCGAATCGAAATGTGTTTTTTACATTGATTGTAATTTTACCAACTCGATTCGTAAAAAATTCATATTTTAATTTGTCTTTTTTATCGGCTAAGTTTCAGCTTAGTTCATTTCGACCTAGTGGCCTCTAATTGCTTTGTTTGGGGATCGAAAAAAGTTTTTGTGTGCGTGTGTGTGTTCTGAGGGAAATTTTTTTTTTGATTTTTTTTCGGCATGAAAGGTTTTTGCTCAAGTGTTTAACAGTAATGTAGGTAGTGAAGACTCTTATGTAGGACTTGGTCAGTTTTTTTTGTTTTTTTTTCGGGAAAAACTCTTAAAATGCTCTAATAACTACAGATATGCATTCTTTCATATTAATGCATTTATCAATACACTTAGGTATATATGCGCTTTTTGAGTTCAATTTGAATTCATATGCTGAAAGTTACGTAAATTAAACTCCAAATACGAACGTGGAAATGGCACGAAAAAACATGAACAGTTTCTAGTTTCGAAAGTGGAATTTTATTTTTAGATTTTCAGCGGAATAAATACTTAATCTATTGATCCAGTTTTCTGAAGTTGGGTTCATGTTATCAAAAAAGCGACAATCATGAACTGTACTAGAAATTCAAAGAGGTTAAAGAGCATCTATTTTTTCTTCGAAATTCAAAAGTGTTTTTTTTTTCTGTTTACTTGCGTTCATTACTCGTTTCCAACTGTCAGTTGGCTATGTTTTTGGCTTTGTTACCGCTTGATAATACTATCATATTCAATCAGGCGTAGAGTTAGCACAACTGTTTGAGACCACGAAATTTTGCGGCTTTAATCCGGTCGTGTGTGTTTTTTGCAAATATAGAGCCGTAGAGTTTTTGTGCTTTTTCGGGGTATCGTCCGTCTGTTTATTTTTGTCGGCTTAGTTCCTGTAGAGAGATTTTTGTTGAAGGTTCAGCTTTATTCTAAGTTGCTGTAATCCACGTGGTTGACGACAAAGCCCGGGAGTTCGATTTCAGTCGAGACCTGTTATATTTTGTCGATAGAAAAGTTTCGGCTAATATTGATTATTGTCGGTCTGCTTATTTTTGTCGGCTTAGTTCCGCAGAAATGTTTTCTTTTTGAAATTTGTTTTTTTTTCCAGCATTCTGAAAGCTCTTTGTAAAATTTCTAATGATGCAGGCAATTTTTATTTAGATATTTTGGGCTTTTGTTGCAATTTTTTATGGACAAAAACGATTTTTTCGAAGTATAAAAAAAATTCCGTTTGATTGTAATCATATTCATTCATATTTGTATCGCAAGTGGTGCGAAGCTCAGCTTCGCCTCTGTGTAATAATTTCTCTAATTGAAATTTAATTTTTCAGATTCTCAGATGTACTGAAATACTTAAATCAGAAGAGTGATTTTTCAGATGATTTTGACATGTCTGAAATTTCCATCGAGAAATATATCTCTGAAGATGTGCGGAATGAATTGTCAAGCGCAGCTGTAGAAAACATTAAAAGTTTGATAGGCGAAAGAGAAAACATTGAAAAGCAATTTTGTGCACTGCAGGAAAAACACGATTCGCTTGAAATTGATTTCGAACAAAGATATTATGATTTGGAACAGAACTGTTTGAAGCTCCAGGAAAATTACTCGGGTCAGGTTAAAAAATGTGAAGAGTTGTCTAACACTATTAAACAATATAGTGACGAAGGGATGGCGACGAAAAATGAAGTCTTGCAGCTTCGAGAAAAATATAAATCGGCGGAAAGCTTAGTTGAGAGTTTACAGAGTAAAGTTGACTGTTTACTCGTTGAGAAGCAAGATTTGAACCAAGTTTTGGAATCAAGGTCGCAAGAAGTGAGTTACTTAACTGAGGAAAATAAAAGGTTGTCGGATAGTTACAAAGAAGCGATGAATGCAAAATACGAAGCACAGGCTAGTTTTGAGAAAGCGAAAAGTTCTGAAGATAATTTTCGATTTGAGACGAATCAAGTTAAAAATCAACTGGAATTGCTGAACATGCAAGTTGAGAAGCAATCTGACGATTTGATGAGCAAACATGACGAAATTCAGCGGCTTAGACGAGAGAAAATTTTCGCAGCTTCGGATGTACAAAAGCAACTCGATAAATTGAAAGAAGAGCACGAATCAGTTACGAGGAAGCTGGACGAAGCTAATAAATTGAACAAACAATATGAAGCGCAAGTGGCCAAGTACATTGACAAACTAAGGGACGCGGACGAATATAACAACGGCTTGGAAAGTCATTTCCAGAAGGAAATCGCAAACCAGACAAAACTGGCCGAATTGTATCAGAAGGCAAACGACGACGCTGAAAGTAAAAATAAAAATCTTCTGAAGGCGGTGGCCGAGTTACAAAATATGGTGAGCCAAGCCGAAAGTGAAAAACAAGAAACGGAGGCTAAGTATTTCAAGCTGACTGCTGAGTTTGACCTGTTTAAAGAAAACTCAAACTGCGAAATTGAAAAACAGAAAATTGAGTTAGAGAGGTCAAACGAGTTGATTGAAATATCCAGAAAAAGTAAAGAACTCGTTGAAATGTCGCCGAGCGCTGAAGCTATTAGCAAGCACATGAGAAGTGGTCTTACAATCACAGAGTTGTACAGTAGTTATGTTGACGCAACCACAGAGCTTGACAATCAGAAAGCGGAGAACCACAGGTTGCAGAAATCTTTGGACCAAATTATCCAAGAGGTGCAAGAAAAAGCGCCAATTTTGAGACAGCAGAAGCAGGATTACGAGAAATGTCTGATTACAAATTGCGATTTAACTAAAAAGTTAGATTTAGCAATGGTGCAAAGTCAGAAAGCTAAAAGTACGATCGAATCGTTGCAACGAGCAAACGATCATCTGAAACGCCAGAATGATTCTTTGGAGCAATCGAAAGGCGATTTCTGTAAGCAGCTGCAGCACTTAATTAGAGAAAATACTATTCTTAAAGGAGGAAGCGTCGCCGATGATAGAAGTCAAACTAGTGTCGAATCAATCACTGACGAATCTTTCTCGAATGATAGTGACAAAGTGATTTCGCTGAACCTCGTTAAGTACACTGACATTATTGATTTGCAAGTTAAGAATACTCAGCTTTTGGCGGCCTTGAGGTCAATTTCAGATGAAAAAGAGGCGGAACAGGAAGGAAAATACAGAACTAAGTTGGAAAGCTTGGAAATGAAGTTGAAAAATGCTGTGGAAGAGAATGATATGTATCAGGACGAAATGCGAAAAATGAAAGAGTTGCTATCGAAGAGTGAGCGGCAGAATAACATGTACAGGGTGTTGCTAGACCAGCGCGAAGAATCAAGCTTTGTTGATGATTCGCGAGTTGACAGCTCTATTAATGACTCAGTAGTGTCTGGAGGTTCTAAAGATACTGGGGCTTCTATGGTTCTGAGTCCAAATAAAATGCAACAGATGCATCAAGCAACAGTAGCTGCAGCGATGAGTGAAGAGGAACGAAAAACACTTCAAGGAGGGATCCAAGAACTGAAAGCGGAAGTTAAACAGTGGAAAGAAGAAACGAGAAATGCCGAAGTCAAGGCGAACGAACGTTGCTTTGAATACCAAAAAGAAAACTCAGAGCTTAGATTACAAAATAGTAAACTTGCTACTGCAAGTAGCAGTTTGAGTGATAAAGTTAGTTTACAAGCACTTAATGAGAAAGCTTTGCAAAATGAGCTGGAAAGTTTCAGGAAACAAGTCAATGCAATGTCATCGACCCAGGCCAAAATGCAATCCAATATTGACGTTCTCAATTCAGACATCAGAGCGGCCCAAGAGAAGTATAGCACAGCTTATGTGCAGTTACAGTCATTGCAATCAGAAAGGTCAGTTTGGAAAAACACCGAGAAACATTTGATTCGCGAGAGAGATCGGCTGCTAGATGATAAACGAGTGCAAAGCAACCTCATGGCTAATATAGACTCACTCAAAAATGCTCTGGAGTTCAACGCTAATGATCAACAGATAAGGTACCAAAAAGCTATAGGTACTCTTCAAGCGAATTTGGACGTCGCCCAGAAGAAAAATCGAGATTTAGAATCGGAGAAAAGAAATGGTGTCAAGGATTACGAAGCACGGCTCAAAGATCTGGGTGAAAAATTGAACTCCGAATTGGAGCAAAACCGGAAATTAACAGCAGAATTGACGAACGCTAAGAACGATTTAGCCACGAGTGAAGGTCAATTGCAACTAAAGACCTCTCAACTAGAACAGTCAGGAGCTGCAGGGTCCAAGCATGGATCGCAAGAGTCAATGGATGCGGATATGTCTCGAAATGAAGATGAAGATTTGGCAAATGTGTCGATGAATTTGGAACGTGCTGAATCAGAATTGCAAATCCTCAGGAGCCAAAAGAAAACTCTAGAGCAGCATTTGGAGAATTACAAACACATGTGCGAGGTTTCTGAAGAGAAGTATAATTCGGATACTGCCCAATACGAAGAAAAGATAACGAGCTTGGAAAAACAATTGAAAGACTTTTCGACCAGTCAAAAAACACAATTCCAAACTATCGCGAAGTTGGAAAATGATAACACGAAATTGCGAGAGGATTTGAAAAATATGGTAGATAATTCAGACTCGTCGCATAGCAAGATTGTTCGAAAATGTGACGATTTGGAATCTCAATTGAGCAAGTCGATGTCTTTGAACAATGGTCTCAAAAATGAAATCGAGAATCTCAAAATTCAACTAGAAGACAAAAGTGAGAATCTATCCCTTCTTTCGCAAAAGCTGGAAACTTCTTCGCAGAAATTGAATGAAGGCACAAGTCAGACTGCTAATTTTGAAGCGCAACTTCATGAAAAGTCGAAAGAAATTGAAAGATTGAAATCGCAAACGGAATCAATGGGAATCGAAATAGAAGGATTTAAGTCTCAAGTTGAGTTTAACATGAACAGTTATAAAAGTAAAGAAACTCATATGGGAACTAGAATCAAGGATTTGGAGAAACAAAACCAAATTTTGCTGGAAGAAATTGACAAATTAGGATCTTTAGTCAGCAAAACTAAAACATCGATTTTAGACTCGTCCTTTAATGACAGCATTTCAGGAGAGATTCCAGAAAATCCTCCTCCCGGAACTGAAAATTTGATTGAACTGATCCGGCATTTACGACGTGAGAAGGACATTTACCTGGCTAAGTATGAAGTGAATCAAGGCGAATGCGAGAGAGCGAAACAGAAATTGGTGTTCACCCAGAAAAGGGTTAAAGAATTGGAAGGTTTGCTAAAAGAGGAAGAAGAAAGACATCAAAAGTTGTACCAGGCGATGTCGCAGCAGGAAGAGTTGAACAAAAAGAATGACCAGGTTTTGGTGCTACAAGACAGCAACTCCTTCTTGAGAAAGGAATCGGCGAGGCTGCGAGAGGAATTGGAGGCTGAAAAACGGCGCCAGAAAGAAGCCGAAGAAGCGGCTTTGAAACCTCTGAAGGATGAAATTGCGACTCTGAAAATGAATGCAGATGCTCATTTAAGCGAAGTGGAAATAATGACCGATGAAATCACTAAATGGAAGGCGAGAAATAACGAATTGCTTGAACGAATCACAAAAATTGATTCCGAGGAAAACAAGAAAGTTTTGGCGAAGGCTAAAGAACTGGAAACTAAGAATGTGAACTTAGCTGCTGAGCTGAAGGGTCTAGAAAGCCGACTGTTCATGATGAATAAAGAAAAGAATGATTTCATGGAGAAATACAAAGCTTCATCTACTGAAGCGAATTTGCTGCGAAGTGCCAAGAACACTTTGGAGAGTGAAAAAGGCACGTTGGTGAAGCAGTTGGACACTTTGAAGGGTCAAGTGGCGACACTAGAGGGAAAAGTGACCGGTAGTAAAGGTTCAGTGGACGAGTTGGCCAATCTGAGGGCACGATATAAGAAGTTGCAGGAGTTCGCAAAGAGCAAAGTTGAAATTGAAAAGGTATATCTTAAAAAAAAATACTTTGGTACATCTAATCTTAAAAAAAAATTGTATTTTGGTTAACAGATAAACATTCAACGAGAAGTGAGGATTTTATCGTTGATATATTACAATAGGTGACAGGTTCAAGTAAATAGCTGGGTCGCTCTTTTTTATACTTCGAATAGTATTTACAATTTATTTCAAAGCCAAATTTTTTGCCAAACCAAAATAAGTATAAAGTTTGAATTTTTGAATGACATTTCATCTGGCAGAGTACTGTTATTATAAAAATTACCTTAGTAGCATGTACATTTGGTTGAAAATGAAATGACTCTATTATGCAATATAGTTCATAAATTTAATACTTGCACTATGCTCAAATAGTTCTTAAAATTACCACCTATTGTAACATATCACCATTTATTAATACCACCTAACATCGAGTGTTCTTCCGTTTTCAAGGCTCCATATTTTCCATGTTTCTTAAATGGAAGAATGGATAATAAAACAATATCTGGCGTTGCAAAGATCTTTCAATCTAACTGCTAGATAGATACAATAAAATTACAAAAAGCTGTAAACAGCGGACTACGAGGTCCCATATAGGCATTGTTGAAACATTATTTGGAAAATAGATAACACGTAGTCAAAATAGGCTCCAAAATATCGAAAATTGAAAATTATTCACTACACAGGTATCTGTGCTCGGGCCACTACTGTTCATTTTAATGATGAATGATTTACCAACGATTACAAACTCAGTGAACACATATTCATACGCTGATGATACAGCAGGGAAGCAAAAAGAACAAAACATACACCAATACAATGAGGGTTTATCAAAAATATGAAATTAGTACAAAACAATAAACATAAATTTTAATAGAAAGTAATCATAGGAATAGACAAAATAAAAATAGGAACCGATGATGTTAAAAAGGGACACTATACTATATATTTGGGCGTTCACATGGACTCAAAATTAGATTTCATATTAACTTTTTCGTCAAAAAATGAATAATTTTGTGGGTTGCTCTACCGATTACGTGACGTACTAACGACAGCTCAACTAATTAAAACCTATTTCAGTCATTTTCAGATAATACTGCAATATGGGATTATAGTGTACGGCACAGCTAATAAAACATCTCTAGAAAAACTTGAAATGGAACAAAACCAAATTCTTAGAATTTTTTTAAAGAAAATGGAGAAATCAGTCAGTAACACATTTTAAAGAAACCTACAAGATATGCTCTGTGAAAGAATTGCACATAGACGAGATATTCAAAGCTTTTACGGGAGGATTTAAAAAAAGAATTCCTGAGAAACTCAATTTTGGACTCGGAGATGGAGATATTGAAACATAGAAGAGTTTTTAAAAAATCAAACCAACGAGTAGTTTCACTGGTAAAAGCCCAATAAATAAGAGTATGCATAAGAAGACTATTCAATTTTATTCAACATTTTTTTTTTGAAGATTTTGCCGATAGAGTCTGCAATCTTGATGATAGTCAATTAAACACTTTTTCGATGATTAAGCATTTTTTTTCGCGATCTATACATCACAAATAATAAAGAAATGATAGATCTGTTTTTTAAAGAGGGGGGTTGAAGGGTATGGACAACTGATAGTTATATTAGTTTACAGGAAAAACTTCTTAGTACTGCTTAGAAATTGTACCGCTCAATTAAGACTTTACCTGACTAGGCCTATCGGGCCTTTTGATGTCCTTGCATATCAGAATTATGTAAATTGACAAATGTCTGTTGAATAATCTCTATGAAAACAATTTATTATGATTATTATAATTATTATTATTATTATTATTATCATTATTATGATTATTATTATGATTATTATTATTATTAAAAAGTTTATCACCCCTCTCCTAAACATAAAAAAGCGGAGTGGAAAAGTGAGTTTTTTTCTTTCAGTTCTATATTTGTATCCTTTTTTAAACTGTAGTCGAAACATCTTAATTGTTTTCACAGCAAAAGAGTTCTTACATGAAGTTTAGAATTGATTTTTAGAAGCTGCTGAAAGACTCCGAAGAGTTGAAAGGCGAAGTCGCCTCTCTGGAGACCCAAAGAACAGATCTGACCAAGGCCAAAGAGCTGATTGAAAAACGTCTATCTGAAACTACAGTCGTAAGCACTCAGCAAGCAACCGAATCGAACTGCGACAAATGCACAGTGGCCGAGGCTGATAATCTAGACTCGAAAGGAAGGATTGAATCGCTTTTGTCGGAAATAAAGAAGGCCAAATTGCAGTTAGATGAAAGCCAAAAGAGGTCAACTTTGCTAGAGCAGGCGCTGAGTAAGACCGCGCCAGGATCTTCAAGTGAAGCTGCGAGCAGTTTGAATGAACTGAAATACAAAAGTTTGCTCAACCAAAATGAACTGCTCAAGAAGGTCAGTATAACTTCATCTTGAGGAGGTCGTTTCACTTTGATGTGGAATGAGCTGCAGTTGAATCCTAACCTGTGAAAGTAACTGTATTTTCTGTATGAATTGTTTAGATTTGCTTATAATGCGTAAGACGTTGACTGCTCACATTATGATAGTCCATATAATGTTTGAATTCAGACGGAGAGAGAGGATACCATTAATTAAGCAAGACGATCAACTCATTTAGTCAGGACAAAAATTGAGCTTTTCAGCTCATTGGATGTGCACTGATAGAACTAAAGTTAATTTTTAGGAAAAATTTACAATGAAAAGAGGAGATTTAAATTATCTCAACTGTCTTCAACAAACAGATTAACTAAATATGTTTTTTTTGCACTTCTGAGAGCAAGTGTCTTGTAGCTTGTAATCGGGAACTAGTTTCTCTTCCGTAAACAACTTTTGTCACATATCTGTAAGAAATTCAACTTGCTTTATTATTGAACTTAACAACTGCTTTAGTGACAACTGCTTTTGAGCTTTAGTATATTTTCCTTTTGTTTTTTTTTTAGCTTGAAAACTTTGTTCTGTCTGAATAGTTTGCGCTTATGGTTTTCTCAGATTAGTTTTCTATTTTTTTATGTCATTTGAAGGGCAAAGTTGGTTAATATGTAGAAAAATAATTCAGAGTAAAAGTTGAAAGTTGTAAAACTTATTTTTATGGCATTTTTTTTGTTTTTGGCGCAATATGGCTTTATCCACGTATTGTAGACCTAATGGCCACTCGGTAAGTTCTAAAAGTTTGCTTAATGCTGTAAGTTCAAAAAGTTTGTTTCTAAATTGAATTGCGAAAAGTTTGTGTCTAGATTGTTTTTCCTGAAATTGAAGTTTCCGTTTTTTCTAATAAATTTAAATTTTTTGTAACTATTTTTTTTTCGATTTACTTCTCATTTTTTATTTGCTATCTAGCTGTGCTACGCATGCGTTGCATCGCATGTGATGCGAAGCTCCGTTTTGACTCTGTGTTACTTCTCTTTCGATTTGCACTTGATAAATTAGGGGACATTGTTGGGGTCAAGAGTTTTGCTTCATGCAAGAAAATTGTGCCCAGATTGGCATTCGCATAAGCATTGACCCACGCTTATATTTAGTGCTACATTTTATAAACTCAAAATTTTGAACATTCCGTTTTTCAAGATTTTCAATTCTTGATACGGTTGTTAATGATGTGCCTTCGTAAAGTAAAAGTAGTTCGAAAATTCCGTTTTTGAAGATCTTCAATTTACGTAACTATGTGAGGTGCCTTCGTAAACACCCCCGATAATCAGTTTTCTCTGATATTGGTGTTGCAGTTTAGACAGTTTTTTTTGTTAGCGCAAAATGTTGCCTATTATTTTGCCAAGTTGCTTGAGAAAACTGAAAATTTTTTCTTTAAAGCAGACCTTAGTAGCGAATTTTGGTTTGCCAAATGATGACATTTTAAAGTTTTTTGTAAGGTTTTGCAAAAGCTTAGCAATTTAAATATTTTTACCGAAGCTCATTTTGTTGTATCATCGGCATACATAGGAATTAATTTGTATTACACCACAAGAAATTGCTTTAAAATTTGATTGGTTTTCTAAGAGTCGATGAACTATCACGAAAGTCTTAAAATTTAAAATTTAGTCAGGCTAAGTTTTTTTTCGCGGATTTATTTTGACTTTTTTCTAAGTTCAGTTCATTTCATATTACAAGATAAGTAAACTCCGCCGTCGAACAGCGAAAGTGTGAAGGTCGCGAAAAACGTGACCGTTTTCTAATTAAGAGTAATGAACGTAGTGAAGACTCTCATATAGGTCTTGCTGATTTTTTTAGTATTCAGGAAAAGTCTTAAAGTATTGATGCACTTAGGTATAATGCATTTTTTGAGTTCAATTGAAATTCAAGTGACGTAAATAGCACTCTCCAAATACGAACGTGGAAACGGCGCGACAAAACATGAACGTTTTCAGTGTCGAAAGTGGAGTTTTTTTTATGATTTGCCAGCGGAATAAAAACTTTACCTATTGATCCAGTTTTCTCAAGTTGGTTTCATGTTATCAAAAAAGCCCCAATCATCAATTTTCTGAGAATTTCAAAGAGCTTAAAGGGCATATTTTTTTGAAAATCGAAAGTTGAAATTTTTTCAAGGAAGTCAGTGTTTTTTTTATGTTTACTTGCGTTCATTAACAGTTGAGGGATTTGTAATTCATCAAATGAATCGAAAGAAGCTATTTGTTTTATATAACAGTACAATAAAATCTCCATTTCAAAAAATTTAAACTCAATATATTTTGCAAAATTTTTGAAATTATTAAGTTGTACATTATTTACACTTGCGATCGGCTTAGTGTATTATTATGGACCTTCTTTTTTTTCTAACCTAACTCGCAAATAAAAGTGTTCATTAAAATCGTTCACTTTTTTTTGGAAATTTCAATGTAGAATTGGAAATTGCATAGCATCTGTTCTCTTCTTAATTTGAGGCTAATGTTTGGTATCTATTAAGCTTCCGTGGCTAAGGGGTTACTGTCTGAGTCTGTTAATCACTAGGTGTAAGGTTCGAATCTCAGAGGTTGCCGAGATTTTTACAAATTCGTGGCTTGTTTCTTATTTTTATTATTGCACTTAAGAGAACTGCTTTTGTCACGATCTCGCAAGTGTTTGCGGAGCGAAGCTTAGCCTATGTGTTTACTTTTTCTTTCCAATTACTTCATGCAAGTTTAGTGTGGTTGCCTTATGCTTATTGTATTCCGAACTATTGCATGCATCATTGTGTGTTGTTGTGCATTTTGAAGCTCCATTTTACCTTTTTTTGCTTGTCTCGTCACGATAAGCGTCAGCGGCACAATTGTGTAGGGAAGCAACTGGAAATTTTGAAGTGGACTGAGGTTCAATTCCCGTTGAGGGCGTTTGTTTTTTATAACACAGTATAGTTATTATCATTAGTTTTTTATTGACCTTCTTAAAGCTACTTCTTGGCGTTTTTTTGCCTGTGTTTGAGAGTTGCGGCGTCGCCTCTGCAAATTCTTAATTTTGTAAAGGGCAATTTCTGTATTTACCATTTGGTATGAATCTGTCTTGAAAAATGTTTTAGGAGCTGGAAATTGCGAAGAAGGATGTGGCTCTCGGCGAGGATAGAAAGAAGAAAACGTCCGAGTTCCTGATGAAAATGAAACTGATGCTTGAAGGAAAGAAGACTCAAATAGCCACTCTTCAGAAGCAAGTACAAACTGCCTCTTCAGACATGGGGAAAAAGGAAGAAGAGGTGAAGAAAAAGGAACAAGAGATTAAGAAACATCAAGAAGATTGCGATAAGTTACGTCATTTGTGTCTGACATATGAGAACAAAATTGAGTTGCTCGAAGGCAAAGTTGAATCTCTGGAGACATTTGCTAAGTCAAAACCGAGAGAGGTTAGACTTGGAGATGATACGCCTTCCAGCTCACAACCAACATTGGCGGTGCCAGGTCAGCAAAGGTCTGATAAAAGCTCAGAGCGACCTCACGCTAATATAAAACCCATCACGTCGACAAGGTCGTCAACTAGACAAGCCCCAGCTGTTGTACACGTACAGCCTTTGCAGTCGATACAGTCCACCGAATCAGCTGTAACTGAACAACAGAACACTTCCAACAACGCGAGCTCAACATCACCTAGTATGTTTGGAACAAGTATTGGCGGTAGCGTGCCACAGAGTGCCAGGGTTGTACCGCAAGTCAGAACTGTTGGTGAAATTTCATCTGTGCAAACGCCTCCGCATGCTCAAGAGTTTGCGGTTCATACTAATGCAGCAAGCAGTACAACACTTGAATCAGCGAATGCTGATGTCAATGCTATCAGCATTACTCCGGCGACTCCACTAGTTGTTGAAGCGACAAATGCAACGACCACAGCTGCTTTTGTTATTCCAATTTCAAGGACGACTATCAATCTGCCGACATCGAGCTCAGATCGAGCCGACACGACTGCTGCGATTCAACCTTATCACGTGCATTCTGCATCTGTGAGCTCAAGTTTGGGATCTGGAGGTTCATATGTAAATGTTATCACACCGGTGGCCCAAGTCTCGCCTGAACAACAGCAGCAACAACAAGAGATTTCAAGTACATACACTACCATGGGTTCATCAACTCCTATGATTTCTCCCTTTTCAACATCGGCAAACCGAGGTGTGAGTCAGCGCGCTGGACCAAGCAGCGACGGAGGTCCAGCTGATAGCAGTCAATTTTCATCTAAAAGACCACGTGATACGTTCACCTCCAGCGACGAGGAGCAGAGTTCCGGAAAAAAGGCCCGAGTCTTGACTACGGAAGATTCCGACATGATTGCGGGATCCTCTGGGTCGACAAATGTGCAATCCCATCCACAGCATCAACGGTCGTCAGGATCTGAGAATGTCCACGAAGTTGAGCCGTTTATAAGTTCATCCTTCGGCGACAGTTCTCAAAACGACAATATATCAATTTCACTTCCTGAAATTCCAAGTGCTGTGTATGCAGCGATTGCAACTATATCGAGTGGAGATGCACTGGAGTCGAACGCCGGAGAGTCGGGATTATCGGTGGTATTAGGTGATAACACAGTGGTAAACGAGGTGTATGATGCATCGCATTCTGCCAGATACGAGGGATTATCGAGTGAGTGTAAAATTGAATGGATGTTGAAGAAACCCATTAAACAAAAAAACGCCTGATCTGGTTGAATTTGAATAGCTGTTTTTGTGGCGCATTTGAATACGGAAGATGTTTAGGCGCGCATTATGCCAAAATGCTATGATTGGTTTGCATTATTTTGATCTAACTGTTAAATGTCGCTAAACCCAACACACTCCCCAGTGTTACTAGGTACTGAGTTCTTGGATGCTTAAATGCTTACCTATTCTTTTATAGAGTGCTCTTATAGTTGCTCTTTAAATAGGTTCTTTCAAGAGCCAACTTGGAGGGTATTGTTAATATGATTTCTTGAACGTTTTCTTTTAGCTTTACATAGAAAAGTATGCCAGATTGTATTGATGGTTTTCAAGGTGCGCCAAGTGGACCGTATGCGGAGACCGAAAATCTGGAGGGCGGCGAAGAAGAAAGTCAAGACGAGTTGGTAGAGAGACAGGAGGCGTTTGATGAGGGGGAGAGGGAGGTCGAAGAAGAAACCGAAGAAGAGTGTCAAGTAATGGATGAGATGACGGGAGAGGAAGTGTCTGCTTCTGACAGGAATTACCAAGTGCAGGACATTGTAGGTAAGAAACTGCAAGTAACAAAATACAAAGTAAAATGGTACAATATCTAACTAATTTGAACAGAAAAGACAAAATAGCGGTCAACATTAAATATTTGATTTGATTTGAAATTGCAATATTTGAATTGCATTTTCTTGACTCACCCTGCTTTCAGCATTTTTAGTTAATTTAATTTACACAAGTGGAGCATGATGTGATAGAGCGATCCAAGTTTTATTCCATTTAAGTCGCAAATATAAGTGTTCATTAAATGTCTTCACTTATTTGGTGGCTCTTTTGTCATACACTATATGTAGCATTGGAAGTTAAATAGCATCTTTTTCTGCTTTATTGGTTGCCATTATTTATCATTAGTCAAGCGTCTGTAGCTCAGAGGAAAGGAAGTGAGATGCCTAAGCTACAGTAGCAGTTTCAACGCCGTCTTTAGCAGTAGTTTTGTTTATATTTGGTGGCTTTTTTCTTCTTCTTATGTTTAGAGCTGCTTTTTTTTTCGTTTTCTCACAATTGTTTGCGAAGCTCAGCTTCGCCACTGTGTAGAAGATTTGTCACTAAGTATCAATGAACGTAGTGAAGACACTTATTTAGTTTTTGTCTAGAGTCGATGAACGTTGTTCAGACTATTTTATAAAGGTCGCGATTAATTTTTTTTCAGGTAAAGCTTTTAGACTCAAAATTGATCTTTTATTTAGACTTGTTCGCGTTTTGACATTTGATTTTTTTAAGTTCCGTTCGTTTTCTGTGTTGAAAGGAAGGCAAATTTTACTATCGAAGGGCGAAAGTGTGAAAGCCACGAAAAATATAATCGACTTCTAGAGTCGAAAGTGGAATTTTGTTATCGAGTTTCCCGGCGAAATAAAAATTTTACCTATTGATTTAGTTTTCTCAAATTGGGGTTTTTATCGAAAAAAGCGTCAATCCAAAATTGTTCTCGGAATTCAAAGAGCTTCAAGGTCATCTATTTGTTCTTGAAATTCGAAATTTGAAATTTTTTCAAAAAATTAAATCTGTTTAATTACTTGCGTTCATTGACTTTTTTCCAGCTGTTTGTTGACTATGTTTTCTAAACCAAATTAGTTTTTTTAATTTGATTTCCGATTTGTTTTCATTTCAGTTCCTCTGTTACAAGGAAAACAAACTCTACTACCGAACAGTATAAATGTAAAAGTCACGAAAATGTGAAAGATTTCCAGATAAAAATCTTCAATTTTCTGATTTCTCAGCGGAGTTTCACTATTGATCCAGTGTTTTCTAATTAAGATAACACTAAAGAAAAAATGTTAAAGTAGCTCAGAACTTTTAAATCAACTTTTTTGGTTTCCTTGTTCTTCTTTACAACCATCTGTTGGCTAGGTTTTATTTATTACCCTTGAGATCAGCAAGGATAGTCCTACCGACTACTAGACTTTTTCTCTTACTTAATATTTTTTCCACAGAAGTCAATTTTGTAGGATTGGGAAACATGCTAAAATTAATTTAAAAAACCTTTTAGGCAAGGATCGTTTGAGGCAGTTTTGTTTTCATTGCGGATTTGTGGGTTTCTATCTAGCTTACGTTGGTTCATTTTCCGTTTTTCAAAATGCTATTTATTTTATCTGGTGCATGTTTTCGACATTTTATTTGGTGCATGTACTATTGGTTTTTTTTGGATTTCGACAGTTTTTACTAATATTGATAGTTCTTTTATTTGTAAAATTAACAAGTCCAATTTTGAATAATTGTCTTTTTTTTGTTTTTTTTTCGATGAACAAGTATGAAATTTTGAAGGTATAGTTTTTCGACTTTTTTCAAGTCGACTTTTCAAGTAATTTTTTCAACTCTAATAAAAAAAGAATTTCTCCTTTTCTTTTTACCCTTGTGATAAACTGGACTCGTGGTACCATGGTTCATAATGAATTCAAATTTATTAGGGTCTCCTGTACACTTAGCTGGGAGGTAAAAGAATACGCCCGGGACGCCACAGGTCTCGGGTTGGAATCTGACTAGGACCTGTTTTTTTTAACGGCTAATATTACGGTTCAAAAGGAATTCCGCCTATTATTTGTGTGCTCGATGTGTCAAAATTTCTTTTTTTTTCATTTTTTCTTTATCGGAATACTAAGTTTCGGCTTAATTTATATCGACTTAGTGGCCTCTTATTGCGCGAGTTCGCTCTGAGGGGAAAAGGGACATGAATGTTTTTTTTAGTAGCTTAGATTTTTTTTGATTTTTTGCGGCATGAAAGTTTTCTGCTCAGGTATTTTCGGCTTTGTTACGACATGGTTATGATAAATTTAAATTCAATCAACTATCTGGCGTAGAGGTGACATATTTGCTTGAGACCGCCTCTGTGTCTTAGCTTTGCAGGGCAATGTTTTTTGTTGTATCACAAGAGTTGCGAAGCTCCGCGTCGCCTCTGTTTTGAAAGATGAAAACAAATTCAATGGAAAAAATTGCCGAAGGCCCAGTAAATAGAACTCAAAAAGAATTTTTAAAGCACATTTTTTCGAGTTCACTTTTGGTTTATAATGACCGGATTCAACCATGAACTGTTTTTGAACTATTTGCGATTTGATGTTTGCTATGTTGTAAATTGTTTAGATGACGAAGAAACGGAAGAGGAAGAAGAAACCGAGGAAGATGAAAATGGAGAGATGGCTGACCAATATCACCACCACCAGCTCCAACCAGAAGAGGAAGATGACGACGACGATGATGATGATGACGTCATTTGTCTGAGTGACGGCGAGGAGAACGAACAGGAGGCTCAGTTTGCATCTTTGGAGCCAGAGGATATGCATAGCATGCACAATGTCAGTGGAGAGCACCAGCACGACTTAGGTAGTTTTCTATACTTTGACATAATATAATAAAACGCTCATAATATAATAAAAACGCTAATAAAAATGTATTTAGGCGGCATCGTTAAAATTATCAAAAAGTCTCATTGTGTCTCCTAGCGAAGGATGATGATCAATGCTTTCTATGGTAACAATAATGGGTTCCAAGCCTTGCTTTTTAACGCTTGTGATTAGCAAGCGTTATCAAACTGGAATATAGATTTTTTTTCCTAGTTAGCTAGTTTAACAAAATTAGTGGGATCACTTGCTGAATATGCAGTGACTTCTTTTCACGTCTCTTTTAACATCTTCCTAGTTGCTTCACTCTTGGCCTGGAGGTAGAGCAGCTGCCTTTGTACCCTAAGTTCTTGGGTTCGAGTCGTGGCCGGACCTCGTTTTTTTCAGTATCAAGGAAATTTAAAAAATGCATTGTTGGTTTTTCATTTGTTCGCTCAGGTTTTGTCGGCTTAATTGCCACAACGTATTTTGCTTGTGCTGTAGATAGTTTTCATTGTAGTTGCAAGTGCAAGTGTTGTTCATTCTGAGGGGAAAGGTTTTTAAAAAATCAAAAAATCTTTTTTTTTTTCGGTTCAGGTGGTTTCAGCTCAAAGATGGTTGGCTGAGTTGCTACATCACTGATTTTTCTTGTGCTGTAAACAACTTTCATTGTAGTTGCAAGTGCAGTTGAGTCTATTGTTGTTTAAGGTGGGACTTCAAACTTTTTTTGTAAATTCATACTTTTTTCGGCTCAACTTGTGTCTGCTCAAAGATTGTCGGCTTTTTTTCTTTTCGTAAATTTTGTTCCATTGTTGCTGATTTAAAATTGAAGTGTCTGGCATGTTTGACTGGAATGAACTTCTTTCGAGACATGAAAGTTTATTTGACCTAATTTTTTCAAAAATTTTCATTTTTTTGGGCTTATGTTTTCTTTTCTATGTTGGTTTTGTATCGCAAGTGATGCGAAGCTCCGCATCGCCTCTGTGCTAAGAGTCAATGAAATCATATAGGTCGTGATGATTTTTTTTGGATGGAAAGTCTTTAAATTCTCTACTAGCTACAGAAGGGCATTCATACATATTAGTGCGTTAGGTATATCTGATTTTTTGGATCAATTCAAGTTCAAATGATAAAAAGTAGACACATTTGCTCTCCAAATACGAACGAGGAAATGGCGCGAGAAACGTGATCGATTTCTAGCTTCTAAAGTAGATTTCATTTTCATCGGAATTTAAACTTCACCTATTAATCCATTTTTTGCAAATTGAGTTGATTTTATCCAAAAAGTGTCAATTACCACCATTGCTCGTGAAATTCAAAGATCTTTAAGGGCATGTATTTTTTGCTTTGAAATTCTAAAATAGAAGTTTTTTCAAAAAACAATTCAGTTTTTTGTTTCTTTGCGTTCATTGACTCTTTTCCAACAGCTGGCTGTTTTTTATTATACAAGTTTTGAAATGTATTAGTATGAGAACTTTACATTGCCTTGCCATTTTTTGAGTAATTTAATTTAAATTGCGATGAACATGATTTTTTGCTGATGCAGGAGACGACTTGGATCAAGACGAAATCAACGCCTATGATGAAGAGGAGTCCTCAATGCAGTCGGCTGGTCACGTGGACCACATGCTTGGCTCAGCTGCCGAGAGTGAAGTGGGTATCATTGTTTCGGCTGAACAGGGAAGACGACTGGAGTCCTCATTTGCTCAGCAAGCATCCTCACAGGTAGACACTTTCAATTTTCAATTTAAAGTTCGATAAAATCAGGATCTGTGCGTTTAGTTTAGTTGTTGTTTATGGCAGTCTCAGTCAGCGAACCAATTCTGTTTGGTATTATAGATCGGCTGGTTCTGTACCGTTGTCCCGCTGTGATTATTTTACATACGAAATTGTAAATGTTGGCACATTGATTAGTTTGAAACACATTTCCAGGACTAACTCAGTGAACCATTGGTTACCCGTAGTTTTCATTTGTGTGCAATGATGAAAAATTAGGAGCCGTAAGAACCTCGCCAAAGTTACTGTACCTATAAAAATATCGTGTGCTTCTCAGATTGAAACATACAACATCGAAGCGATGGAATCCTCATCGAATGCAGGCCAATCTGCCCTGATGGGTCAACAACAACAGAACAGCGACAGTGCAGTGTGGACGAAATCTCCGGATAGAATGCAGTTGCAACAGCAGCAGCAGGCTGTCAATCTGGAAACTGACAGCAGTGCTCCTCAGAGTCCCACCGCAGACGGGACTGAAGGAGCTGTGGTCACTTCCAGTAGTCATGGCGTAGACACCGATGTCTCGGACCAGCCGCAACTTAGGTAATATTATTGAAAGTTTGGAATTTCAAGGTTCATAGTTCATCAATAGGTCTAATGGAAATCGAAGCGGAAATTAATAATAAATTGTGGTTTTCTGAAAAAAAAACCTTTTAAAACTTTTCATTAGTTTATTGGACTGGTTTTAATTCGAATTAAAATTGAATTTTATTTATTTAAGTTCTGAATTTTTACATTTAATTGACCAAATAATTCTGGTTCATCATTGAGCACTGCAATTGTTCTTATTTAAGCCTATGTGATCTTGAGTCAATATTTTTGAAGATAATATCTAAATGAGTATTTCATTAGCTCAAGAAAAAATACTTCCTACCATTTTCGTTTTTATGCCTATGTCACAGCGGGTCAAGATTTGAAATTTATCATAGGTCCCTGGAGAACGTGGCCAGAAAGAGCGTGAGACAGGGACGACCGAGATTGAGGCGAAATTTGAACAACCAAATGGGCTCCTCTGGGTCCCCAGGAAAAGACCCGTCTGCTAGTTCCTAGATAAATCACGTGTGCTCAAAACTTATCATTTATGACCAGTCAAGGAAAGCGTTCTTGTAGTTAAAGAATCGCCTGTACTCGATTGATTTTTGCAAATGATGTTGACCTACAATTAGATGGTATCTTGAAACAGTTTTGTGTACATTGCACTACTTGAGATTGAGTTGGTACGTGATCCTGTAACTTCCTTAAAGCTGGATTACTTCTGTATCGAGGTGTTTTTAAATTGATGTTAGAATATTTTAAGTACTTTGTGCTATCTTTTTTTAGTTGACATCAAAGGCATTCGTTGGAATGAAGAAGAGCTTTGGATGAAAACTGACCAGGATTATGCGGTGATTACCCGAAGTTGAAATGCCCATACAAATATATAATCATTAAATATTATATCAATCGGAACAGTTTTTCAAAAAAGAGGGTATTATTGGAAGTTTTTGCCCAGATTGTTATCGACTTCGGCTAATACTGGCTGCATAAGCCTGGTGACTTAGCTCTTGTGAGATTGTTGAAATGATGCATTTTGTTGGTGGCTTGTTACCAATGTCGAATTATAGACCAAAATCTTGAAATGTTACATCAATTTCTTTTTGATTAAGTTTTGAAACATATTAGTCTTGATCAAAATCGGTTTTAATAAATGTCGATTTAAAAACATGGGCTCACATTACAAGTTTTATTCACGAACTGAAAGTTGTTTAAACGATTCTTTTAATTTCTTGTATTTGTGTTGCTTAACTTAATTTAACATTGAAATACTTTTTGTTCTCATACACAATTAGCTTGGTGGTTTCATTGCTTCTAAATGTCAGGTATGTTTTGAGCGTGTTTTCAATTCCGGATGTTAAAACCTCTGTTGAAAATTTAAAAAAAAAACGGACAAACTAGTAGATAGACAGGCCAGTAAACAGAAAAAAAATTTGTACACCAAAATACTGATTTTTTATGCACCAAAATATTGTTTTCAACGACTTAGTTTTCAATCATAATATCTCAAAAATGAATAGCAAGGTTTGAAATTTCGAAGAATTTTCGAAACATTGAATTTTTTTGAAAACCACGCTCCTTCAGTAATTTTAAGCTAAATTTTGTTCTGTCGGTTTTTGTCAAATAAGTTTGTATGCTTGTTGAGCGTACACTATGTAACACATCAATAATAAGTAATTTGAGATCGTCTTCGAGTAACCTTTTCGTCATCAGATGGCGTCATGATTAAACTTAAACCAGGCTTAATTACGAAAGAGTTTTGTACACACCGCATATAATGTTATCTGGATTCGCTAAGTACCAAATTGGGCTCTTTCCCCCCCCCCACCTCACACGAGCTTCAATTTATTAGTGTAACGAGTGGTTTTACGAGGTTAAGTATGAAGACCAAATATGTTTGTCGTAGCCTTATTAGTCTGTATGTAAATTTTCATAACCATTGGACAATGTGGTAAACAAATTTACATGTAACAATTCGCAGGTGGGGGGGGGGGAAGGAAAAAGAGCCCCAAATTGGCAGAAAATCGTCTCAAGATCGAAGTCGCTTGTTCATTTATCAGCGCTCTTTGGTCTGCGCGCGTCTTCAGATTTTCATTTGCACTTGAAATTTAGTTTTACCACAGCACGAATTGAAATGCTTATTTTCATTGCACCAGCGTAGCGTAGTGTGTTAACACTATTCAACTTTTTCCACCTATGTTGCATATAAAAGTGCTAGCACTTTTGGAGTATGAGGCTGCATTGGCACCAAGTTACCATAAGCGTTGACATTTGATTAGTAATAAGTTAAACCATTTGATGCTTTCTTAATTCATTAATGGAGGCGAGTAAAGCTAATTTGTTAAGAGCGAATAAAACTAATTTGTTTCTTACAACAGTATAAAAATTTAAATTCCATTTCAGAAACTTTCCAGCTAAATTTATTTCAAGATTTGTAAAATTCATATTTTACAGAATTTGGCTTTATACGTTCTAACTATTACATGCAAAGTTCCTTAAATTTAGTACACTGCAAATTATTGCATCCAAAGTTTGTGTTTTTGTGCATTTTGAAGCTCCTGAAATTTTTGCCGCGTTATCGCTTGTTTGCGAAGCTACAGCTTCGCCTCTGTGTAATAAATGGTCCTGCGAGTAATATTTGTCGTGCTATTAAACAGATTCACTAGTGAAAATATTTTCTTTTATATATATATATATATATATATATATATATATATATATATATATATATATATATATATTCGCAAAATCAAAAAATCTGAAGTCCGTGTATTATTACGAAGAATTTTTCTAACCTAAGTCGCAAAGAAAAGTGCTCATTTGGTGGCTTTATTGGTATATTTCATTTTAATTCTACTCAAGCCTATTTAAGCATAGGCAAGTTAAAAGCAGATGTTGTTGCTTTGTTTTTGGCTAGTGTTAGGGCCTGTTTGAAAAAAAAACAGGTAATATGAAAATGTATCGTTTTGTAGTTTTTTTTGGATTTTTTGCACTTTTCCCAGAAATTTCTTTTTTTTTCTCAAAAACTACTGTATTGTTTTTCAAAAACTGGTATCAATGAAAAAACTGGCTGCTCTTCTATGTGCCTGCTTATTTCGCTACTCTCTTTTCATTTTACCCACGTTCTACGGCCTTTGACAGTTTCAGTAGGGGGATTTTTGACCTAATTGTTTTGAATTATTTCCTTTTCTCAATTTTTAAAAGCACAATACTGCGATGGTTTCAATAAGATTATAAGCATGGGGATTTCTGTAGGAAACAATTATGGCCCGAATTAAGCCCATTTTTGACATTCGAGAAAATTTTTTAAAAACGACACTGCCAAATTGGGGATTAAGGCTATAAACGGAAGAATAAAACCAGTTATGTGAATCTTACCTGCGCAAGTTGCTATGAAAACTTCTTTTTATTCTTAAAAACTATTCTACTGATTCTGATGTTGATAGTTCATTCAAACGAACCTGGTGCTAAGATTTTCCTTGCGTAATCGTTCACCCAATATTTTTAGTAGAAATGCCAATTTGGACTTAAGGGAAAATCCATTTTTGAAATTTTTACTGTTTTTTGGAAATTTCATCATTATTCTCGGAAACTACTAGCTAAATCTGATACTAAGAGTTCAATCTAGAAATCAAGGCGTAGAAAAACTCCCTGTATAATTGGCTGTTCCCATGGTTTAGTAGAGAGAAGTTAATGGATTTAAGAAAAGTCAATTTTTTGGTTTTTGATCGTTTTTTGGAATCTTCGGTCTTTTTCAAAATTACCTAGCCAAATAATTCAATTGACAGCGAGTAGTAGTTCTCTCCTTTAAGTAAGCAGCCAAGTTCCGACTTAAGCAGAAAATTTTCTAGGGTTTTGCGTGAAGTCCGTTTTTTTTTGAAGTTTCGAAAATAAGGTATTTCCGTATCAGTGCAATATTTGATTTAAAATTTTAAAACAGGTACATCTAGCATCAGCTGGGCCACTAATTTACTTCCAAGTGACCGTTGCGCAGATGCGAGGACGTAAGTGACTTTCCTAAGCATCAGGTCGGAGGTTTAAATCCGGTACATGAAATAGTTTTTGTGCTCGAACTTTTCCTGCTTTATTTGTGACTAGTGTTGAAATTAGAATTAGAAGCAGTCGCGGAGCAGATTTGCGTCTAATCTTTAAATTGATATTGAAAAATTTTTCCTATGTGTATTTTTAATCTTTTCCTTATTTCAATTTGTTTTGCCTGTTGAGAGCTTTGTTTGAATTTTTTTCGCTTGTGCTTGCGAAGCGTACCTTTGCCTCTGTGTTGAAAATGGATTTACGATTTACCAAGTACTTCAAAAACATTTATTTATTTTCGATGGGCTATGTTTTATCGGCTGTTATTCTTTCGTTCTAACTTATATGCTTCTCTTAATGGCAGTGGCGCCCATCATGCTGTTTACTTGAAAGCATCCATTTAGCTCAAGTTTCTTGAAACAAGTGAAATTATTGATGCATTGAGAAAACAATCATCAGTAATCGTTACGTTTCCGTTTTTACCTAGTTTGTGATGGGCGTTGCTTCCTTGAAGTTAAACAACCGTGTTGAATAATTATAGTTTTATTTAAGATTTGAAAAAAATATATATATTTTTTTCAAGAATTATGATCGATGGCAACCAGAGCTAAACAACAAAAAAAACAACTTACTTTGCGCGGGCAGCCAGTGGCATCAATAAACCAAAACACAAATTAAAAATCATCATTAAAAAGTAAAATATAAAAATCAAGGGTATCACCGGTTTGAACAAAACCGGTTTTAGTTTTTGAAGAAGAAAAATCCAAAAAACTGGTAAAACTTCAAAAATTGGACATTTTCTTAGGACATGTTTTTTTTAAAACGCAGGTCATAGCCATTTCTTGTGCTGAAAAGATTCACACCACTGTTTTTTTTTCGGTTCGATCTTTCAGATTTAAATCAATTCAGGTTTGAATAGAAATTTATTCGGCAAATTAAACATAAGAACGATCATACAGTAAAAACACAGTACTGGTCTACTTAGTTCAAGTTGCCTGATGTCTCTATCAGTGCCCCTTTTATTACACTAACGATTAGCAAGCATTATCAAATCGGAATGCAGGTTAACAACTAGTTTAACAAAATCAGTTGAATCAATTGCTGCTGACATGCTCAATTTCATGGAATTTCAAGTTTTAACGGATGTTTTCAAGATCCACATAGCTGTTTTTTCTTTCGGTTATACTCTTCAGATTTAAATCAATTCAATTTTAAGTAGAAATTGATTCGGCAAATTAAACATAAGACAGTAAAAACACATTGCTGTTGTAATTAGTTTACGTTGCCTGATGTTTCCATCAATTACTCATTTATTACACCTGCGAAGCGAGTGTATTAGTACGAACTCTCTTTTTTTACTTGCGAAGCGAGTGTATTAGTTCGAAACTTCTTTTTCCAACCTAAGTCGCAAATCTTGGTGCCACTTTTGGGGCAACGTTTTTTCATAGCATGTGTTTTGACATTCGAATAGTAATAAGTTAACACAGTTGATCATCAAATGATTTATCAAATGAACCGAAAAAATTTGACGATTGTGTTCGTTTTTTAAACACTTTTTGTGTTTTCGAGAGCGATAAAATAAATCAAGTTGATTAAATATTTAACTGCTTATATCGCCGTTTACGCTATATCGATTGTTAATTGTGTTAAATTATCTAAAATGGCAGTCTATAAACCCCCATAACCTTATGAAAAACGATCGCAGGTGAAAACGATCAGGACACTAATATCTTTTGAAGGTTATACCAGAAATTCAATCAAAAATGGCTAGTTATTCAATAATTTGTTATGTTTGTCTTTTATTTGGTTCGGGCGGAGAAAGTTCACTTGGTTGATGTAGGCTTTTTTTCCCCGTGAGCAACTTTTCTCAAAAATCTGTGAAAATTTAACTTGATTTATTACTTAACTCAAACAGCTTGCAGGATCCTTCTCACATGAACGTAGTGAAGACACTTAAATAGGACGCGACGATTTTTTTTGTTCATTTTTCAAGAAAAATTCATAAAATTTGTTGACGCTCAAGTTGGATTTTCTGCGGTTTGATTTATTTGCAAGTTCAGTTCATTTTTGTGCTAAAAGAAGGCGAACTCAACTATAGATCAGAAAAAGTATAGAGGTCACGAAAATTTGATCGACTTTTAGTTTCGAAAATGGAGAGATTTCCCAGCGGAAAAAATTGTTAAGGATCCAGTTTTATCAAAGTGGTTAATTTTATCAAAAAGTGTCAAACTGTTAATTTAATCAAAGCAAACTCCTCTATCGAGTAGTAAGCGTTAAGTTCAAGAGAAACGTGGTCGACTTTAAGTTTCGATAGTGAATTTAATTTTTTATTTTCCCAGCGGAATTTTGATCCTGTTTTTTACACTAGCAAGCGTTGTGAATTAATGTGGCTCAAATTTTTTCCACGCAAATAAAAGTGCTCATTTGGTGGCCTTTTTGCTGTAATCACGATCTGTAGCATCATGATTTCCATAGCATATGCTCTCTGCTTTATTTGTGGCCGGTCGCTTAGCGACTATGGCATAGATGGAAAGACCTGATACTCCTAATCTACTGGTCGGAGGTTCAACGATGCACTTAACAATAGTTTTATTTACATTTTGTGGCATTTTTGCTTCGTGGAATTGGCAATTTATTGCATTTATAGCTGCATCATAGGTATTAGTCTTTCAATGGCCCGTGGCGCAGCTGCGAGATAGTGAGACTCGAACTTTCGAGCCCGCAGGTTCGAATCCGACACAGGTTTTAATAATTCGAGGCTTATTTCTCTTTTTTCCTGATATAACTTTGTAGAGCTGCTTTATGTTGTTTTCTCGATTGTGTTTTCCAAGTTCATCTTCCGATCCGTGTCTCAAATTGTGTTATTTTTATCAAAAATTTGTCAACCTTTCTCTTTTGTTGAAATTATGTTAGAATTTTTTTCCGTTCCTTCGAGTTCATTATTGAAGTACTGAAGTCCGATTGGTCGTAGACTCATTTCTATTGTTCATTTATTAATAGTTTGAGAGGAAATCATATTTTTGATCCAGAGTTTTGTTATGAAAATAACTAAGAGGTTACACTAACGTGCATTTTTTATTCAAGTGAACTAAAAATAAATTCAACTAATATTTAATGCTTGAAGTCAAAAACGTAATTTACGCTGCACGATGCAACTGCTGGTATCTCGAACTGCACAAAATATTATGATCTATTATTATAGCACAGTATGTCAGGAAGGAGCAATGGGTCGGCAAATAACTCTTGAACTATAGCTCCGCAGTTCGAAGCCTAGAGTCTTCTGTGCTGGAAAGTTAAGTTTGATGGAAAGCTCCTTTGTTGCCTTATAGATAATAATGTATTTGCTTTGCTTGATATCTTTTCATCTAGTTTATGCTCAAATACCCGCTAAAGGAGTATGGCAATGAACTTTTTTGCAGGAAATCTCCAAATATTGTGCCGTCAAAAAGGCGAAACAGACAGAGCATATTTTTTTCCGACTGAATGCCTCCATCTGTGCCTTAGTTAGTGATTTTCGACTCAAATTTATTTTAAAATGTTTCTTCCAATCCATCATTTCATCTAATATTGATAATTGTTCAGCTAATATTTTTATTCTTAACCAATATTCCTAATATAATCTTCCTTTTTATACAGCAATATTTTCTGCCGCGTTTGTTTTGCTGAATTTGAGGTTGCTGCTTGAGTGTCGCTGCTTATTTAAACAACCCGAGAAAAGTTTTGGTTTTATTTACCCGAAAATGTCTATTTTACGATAAGAATTGTTCAGTTCATGAGTGTTTTCGTTATATCCCCTTAAATGATGAAAATTGAAAATGAAATTTTTACTAAATTGGATCAATTTTTCTAATGAAGTAGCGAATGCGAATTAAACGACAATTAAATTCGCTTTTAGTCTCCTATTTGTGAGTTTTATGTGCAGAAGGGGCAAAAAATCCAGAAAAAATTCTGGTTTTATTTAATGAAAGTTCTTCGTGTTGGCCTGTCTCTATAATATCCTGCTTTTCGTTGTAATAGCGCTCCAATTTTGTAGTTCAAATTCATTTTCACGGAGGGGGGGGGGCTGTATAACCGAAAAGGTTAGCTGTCATTGAGTAGCTTAGCTGTCATGCTGGTACCGCTATCTCATACGCTGTTTAAATATCTTCTTAATCTTTGTCCCTAACAACCTTAAATTTATCTTCATCATTGAGGGGGATTAGTAAGATGTTATTTACTAGAATATCTGATGTTACTGTTCGTTTGTTTGTTTCTACAGCGTCTTCATACCGGGTTCGGTTTTTATACGCAATCAGAATGAAAAGAATAATCGACACAGTTTTGTTTTGGAGAATCTTGATTGATCCTTTTATTATTCGTGAACCACGATTACCTTTAGAAACGAGACCATTCATTACCTGTAAGGTACGATGATGTCATTCATTTGTACGACGTATTAGCCATTTTGCACTAACTAATCTTACTGCATCCCTATGCGTTGCGCACAGTATATTTTTACTTTTCCTAACTACATTCATGTCTAGTTTTTGACTTGTATATGTGATGTTTAGAACTTCGATAATAGTCACGACGATTTTGTTTTCTCGTTTATGGGGATTAATCTTAGAGTATATTTTTTTCAGATAAACATTAATTAATGGCGCCTGCTATGTCCAGTAAACGCAGATCTATGGCTGTTTGCATGGCCTGCTTCTCGGCCATACTTTTAGTAGTAGGATGTGTTGCCATCTTTTCCTTCCCTTTTGTCGTGGAGAGGGCGTACAATAAGGTGAGATATTTTTCAGCTCCGTTTGATTGATCGGACAATTCGAGTTTTTCAACCATTGCTATGGTTGCCTAAAATCATTAGATATCGACGAAGTAATAAGAAGTGAGTGCTATATGGAAGTAATCAATGTTTGCAGAGAGAAAAATCAAAAAGTTATCATTTTGCTTTAAATGCGGCTTAGATGTGATTCAAGGTTCCAATATTTTCCCCAAATCTTAATTTTAGCTTTCATGTTCACTTAAGAGTCGATGAACGTACTTCAGACTCTTATAAAGGTCCCGATGATTTTTTTTTCAGGAAAAATCTTAAAATTTGTTCAGGCTCATTAAAAAAAATTTTAAAAAAATTGTTGTATTTTATTACATTTAGTTTTTTCATGTTATTACTGCTCCATAGACTTTAAAAGGCAGTCGGAACATTCAGGGTTTTGTCCTGATACGAGCAGTTTGTTTGTGTTTGCTTGCGTTCATTGTTTCTTTTCCAACTGTGTTGGCTATGGTTTTTTAACTGAAATGAAATGCGAAAGAAGCTAGTAAAATACATTGCAGAAAGCTGATATTTTCTAAATATCATAAATTTAAAATGTTCATTAACCTTTTTTTAAAGATCTTTAATTTTAATTGTGCATTTCGGGAATATGGTTTTATACGCATCGAATAATATCAACCTTCTTATATTTTTTCAGAAAAGTTCCGAAAAATATATTGACGAACTGAGCTCAAAACTGATAAGATATTCGGCTACATTGCGCAAAGTTATGAGGTTTTGAAAATGGTCAGTTTGGGATAATTAACACCAGCAAAACTACCAATTTTCTATTTACGAGTGAGCGGCGTAATAATCTGTCTCAGAAATCATTCCAATATAATCAATGACTGCTAATTGCTCCAATTATTGCGTTAAAAGGCACATAATTTATTAAAATTTCATGCCTTTTCAGGGCATTTTGTCTTGAAGCGAGCCTCACACAGGCTAAAGCTTTAGTTTTAACGACGCAGCTGTTAGAAGTTAATTGAAGTAGTTTTTTTCATCATTTTTTTCATCACGTGATGTGTGGATCCGCTTTGCCTCTGTGTAAAATTATTTTTTGCAGCTGTCATAGCACTCTGCGAATTTCAAAAAATATGTATTCTTGGGAGTGCTATTTTGTCGGAAAAAAATATGGTTTTCCTGGGTCAAAAACAGAAGCTTTCAATGAGTTTTTAGTTTCTTCACTGTTGTAGGAAGCATCCCTGGTGAATGGGTCAGCTGTATTTGATATGTGGGTCAGCCCGAGCAATGACACGCCCCTCTACATGAACTATTATCTGTTCAACATCACCAACCCAGATGACGTAATACTCAAGGGAGCCAAGCCCATTCTCAACCAGACTGGGGTTATTGTATACAAGTACGTAATTAATGAAAAAACAAACATATCAATAAGTTTAAGCCGACAGAAACTAAAATTTTGCCTCGGCAAATTGCAACAACGAAAATTTGTGATTTATTTCTGGGAATTGCATGAAACTTTCTTCAATTAAATGTATTTTGCTGAATTTAAAAAAAAATCACACTACACGTCATATGTTTCCCTGTTTCCAGGCAGATACAGAACAAGTACAACGTGTCGTTCGGCAATGACTCTGCAGTTGTGTCATATCTGAATAACCATACCTACATATACGACCCAGAGAAGTCCCAGCTCAAAGAAGAGGACCTCATCACCACCGCCAACTTCTTTTTCTGGGTCAGTCGAATCTTTGGTCTGCAGCTCGTAAGGAATTAGAGTTTATGCAAGATTTGAAGCAGCATTTGCATTACCTTTTGGAAACTATTTGTTTTTTAAAAAACGCTTCTATTTCAAAGCTTTTTTTGATGACTAATCTAGCTAGCTTTCGTTGATGAAATAGTTTTCGTTTGAAGATTAAAGATGGACAAAGATTCGATGATGACATTATGACAAAGGTCTGGCTATTCTGTTTAAAAACCTTTGAATACTTGTTTTAGACGGTTTTAAATTCAATTCAAGACAACGAATTAATCATGTTAATGCTGACCCCAGCATTGAACATCAAGTTTGAAGACGAGAAAACTCGAAACGCAGTTTCCCCCTTCTATACGACCACTGTGCGCAACATACTGTGGGGAAGTGACGGAAATGAGTTCCTGGAAGTGCTGAAAAGTATAGTTGATGTTCCTACCCACGTTGGATTACAGGTTACAACTCTAATACTAGAGTGGGTCTTCAAAAAAGTTTCGCCTGTTTTTCAAGTGTCCAGTTTCGACAAGAATTCTCGGCAAAAATTGATTTTGAAATCTGAAAAAAGCTGTTTGATTTTGTTTTTTATTAAGCCGGTGCCGAAAGCCTTCTGGCCTCGTGTCTGACAAAATCAGATGCCCCAAAAAAGAGTTTCTATACTCTCTCTTAAATGGACGGGCTTTGAATAGCATTTTTTTTGTTTGCGTTGCAAGTTACTTTTTGTTGACAAGATCAACGGATCCAACGACGGAAATCACAGCATCTCTACTGGACTTAAGTCGGACAATGAAGATCGAGGAGAGCACACTGCGTGGAACGGGAACACCACCCTCTCTTACTGGAACACACTCGACTGTAACATGATCAACGGAACAGATGGCACCATTTTCCCCACATTCATGCAAAACACTCCTCGACTGTACATCTTCAGGTGAAAAAAAAGCATGTATTTTTTCGAAAAGCTTTGAAAATGAGCATTTTATACGGACCAAACGCAGTTTGATTTATTAGCAGTGAAGTTTGCATCCGGTTGAGCAATTATTATCTAGGTGAAATAGAAAAGTATAATTAATTTCTGCAAGATTGGACTAGTCTATAAATGATCTTGTCAGCTCAGTTTCCATTCTGGTTTTTTCCGCAATTTGTTAAAGTGGAATGCTTTTTAATGTTTTTATTTCTACCCTTTCTATACCTTACGATAGAATTTCGATTTAATTTTTTACTGAGTATTTTTCGGTTCTTTGTTTTCACAGAAGCTTTGTCGATTTAATTTCCGAATGAATTTAATTTCCGTCTTTTTGTAAGTGTGTGCTTGTACAGTGGCGCATATAAGAGAATTGCGAAGTTTTTATTGAAACTAAATTTCTCTATTAATTCGTTTGCTTTTCGGATATACTGCCCTTGCAATTAGCAAGGGTATTGCAGCTGAAATCTATAGAATTTTTTTCGGATTATAATTTTAGCTTGTAGGACTCATCCTCGGAATTACAACAGAACATACTTGTCTGCACTAACAGACACATTTTGAGCTTGATGTGATTTTGACCTTAATATCTTAATATCCGTTCTACTTGGCTTTTGTTCAACTTGATTCTAGTTATACCAACTCAGATGTTGTTTGATTTTTCAATGTTTTTGTTCCGACCTTTGAAAATGGGGAGGAACTTTGTATTCGAGTGCGTTTTGTTTTTTCTTTTTTCCATTTTTTTGTTTTCCACGCAAAATCAGGTATCTTAATTAATCATCGGACTGGGTCGAGTGATCTATCATATCAAAGCCCTTTAAGTCGTTATTCGAACTACATTAAAAAATTTCTCAATGTCGAGAAAAACCGGATTGAAGTTTTTGATTTTTGTTTTAATTTTAAGCGAGTGAGCAGGCTTTCATTAGCTGATTTATGCTTAATTTAAGCCTGGAAAATTTAGTTTTACTCAATTAAAGCTAGTTTTTGCGCCATCTTGGGAATCGAAAAGTTCGTAAAATTTTTGAAAAAAAAAATTGAAAAATCAAAAAACAACAATAATTTGAAAAAAAAAACAATAATTTGATATTTTCGTATGTTTTAAGACTATGGTCGGAACATTCTGGGCTATTTGCACAGTCATCGGCTATTCTCCTTTAAGATTGATTCGACTCAAATAGCTGTAGCCTGCGCTAAATTGAGTTAGTCGCCTTATATTGTGTCGTTTTAAGCCCTTAATTCTGTCGCTTATGTTATTTTTTACAAATTTATTATTTGAACAGAACATTTTATTCAAAAATAGATTGTCATTGAATGCTTTATAGTTTTTGTCATAGTTTTTTGGGCTAAGTATAATGAACGTTTCCGTTGTTATCGCTTGTTAGGTTTTGTTGCAATGGCAATTTAACGCTGGCAATTGTCTTTGTCGACATGCTTTCTGCAAAATAATTATCTGTGATATGAATATTCTGTTAGAGATCAGGTTGTTTTTCGATTTTTTGACACATAGACCTTCGTTACATGTTTTGTACTGCTTGCCATGCTATGTTTGTGATGTATGGTAAGTGGCGCGAAGCTCCGTTTCGCCTCGTGTGTTAAGTTCTTTTCAAATTCATTCGCTTAATGGAAGATAAGTTACGCTCTAAAGCAGGGTGGCGGCGGGTCCCATGTGATGAACTGGCCTTTTTTCGTTCCTTTTTTGAATTTGTTTTTTATATAAATCCATCTCTTTGCCGATTTTCAGGCCACTTTAGATGTCAACAGAGCTCGAACTTTGGAAAAAAATGGCTGCCCTCATGAATGTCCACAAATACCATATCTCTTTGAAAACGTCTTTTGTTGGTTCCGACCATTGAAAATGGAGAGGAACTTTGTTTCGGGTGTGTTTTAGTTTCTTTTTTTATTATTTACGCAAAATCAGGCTCCGCAATTGATCATCGGAATTGGTCGGGTGAAATGTCATGTTAAAGTCTTTTCAGTCGTGCTTTGAACTACATAAAAAAAAAAATTTCAAAATGTTTTCTCAGTGTCATTTGCGATTTTTGAAATTTGTGATTTTGGTCTAATTTCGGGCGAATAAAGTGAGTGAGCAGGCCTATTTTGTCTTTCAACAAAAAGCATTTACAACAAATAATCGGTATGGGTGAAAAGATATATCATGTGTAAACCCTTTCAGCCCTGATTGGACCTAAATTTTAAAATTTTGAAAAATTTGTCCCAGTGTCGAGAAAAATTGGTTTGAAATTTTTGAATTTTAGTCTAATTTCGAGCGAGTAAAGCACGCGATCAGGCTCATTTGGAAAGTATAAGTCGTGAAACTTTAGTCATTAGTGCCGAATATGCTTAATTTTCAGGTTTTCGTCAGATCCATGTGTCACACCACACATGAAAAAACGACATTAATTTCAGAATAAAGGGAAAAAAATTTTATGTAGCTTTTAAGAATATGGTCGGAACGGCTACAATTGTTTTTGGTTTTATTTGAAAAAAAAATTTAGATTATAAAATTTTTGTTAATTTCAACGTTGATGTCTCTTTTTTTCTCGAAAATCTAATTTTTCTATCACCCTGCTCTCAAACAACGAAGTTATTGACGTCTCTCTTTTTCTCGAAAATCTAATTTTTCTATCACCCTGCTCTCAAGCAACGGAAAGGTTTGGTTTGTAAAAAAAAAATTAGTTTATAAAATTTTTGTTAATTTCAACGTTGATGTCTCTTTTTTTCTCGAAAATCTAATTTTTCTATCACCCTGCTCTCAAACAACGAAATTTTTGATGTCTCTTTTTTTCTCGAAAATTTAATTTTTCTATCACCCTGCTCTCAAACAACGAAAAGGTTTGGTTTGTAAAAAAAATTTAGATTATAAAATTTTTGTTAATTTCAACGTTGATGTCTCTTTTTTTTTCTCGAAAATCTAATTTTTCTATCACCCTGCTCTCAAACAACGAAAAGGTTTGGTTTTTTTCAAACGGGTGCAAATCATAAAAATATTCTGGTAATTCAATTAGCTTTAAGTTTATACATTTTAACTTTGAAAATGTTCCAATGAGTTGTTTTTCTTTGGCCGTTTTTCTATTGCCTGTTGGCTCTGTTTTTAACACTTGGTCTCTTATTAGTCCGAATCTGTGCCGAAGTGCATTTATGACGAAAGAAGCGGACGAGGAGCTTGAAGGTGTGAGCACTCTGAAGTACAATGTACCGAAGGAGGTGTTCAATGTCAGTTTTGAGGAGAACAAAGGGTTCTGCACTGAAGATGGACCCTGTACTAATGGACTTCTCGATGCTTCTGCCTGCTATAGTAAGATCATACAACTGATGTTATGCTTTGTTAAACTTGGTGATTTTTCGGAAATAGGTTTTTAATCCGTTCGGAGTGAATGTTAATCGTTGATTGTTCGTTTAGTAATTGGTTACCTTAATTAAGTTGACCTCAAGCATTATTTTGAAATTTGTAGTAAAATGTGTTTGAAAATCTCATAAAATCTGTTCTAGCCGACCAAGTGCTGTCTATTTTTCCTCCGGATGCGCTCGTGCCTCTAAAACTCAGCGTGATCATTTCGAGTCCGCACTTCCTATACGCTGACAACAGTACAATCCACTCAGTGCGAGGTTTAAATCCAGTTCAGACTGAACACGAAACCTATATAAATGTACACATGGACACAGGCGTCGTGGTCAAAGCAGCGAAAAGACTCCAATTCAATACGATTCTGAGTCAGAATAAAGCTACTGATAAGTTGGACTGCCTGAAGAATTTGACTAAACATTGGAGTCAGCTGATGCCAATTTTTTGGGCCGAAGAGGTAAGCTGTGACGTAATCATTCACTTATTGATTTTTTTTGCATATCGATTTTCATTTAGTTTGATGGCAGATTATTCTTGTTGTATATATTTTTTCAGTAGCCTACATGCATAATAGTTATAATAAGCTTAAATGAATGAAAAAATGTTTGAGGTTCGGTCCCATATTTAATGCTTTTATTTTGATGATATGACGATTTTTTTGTTTTTATGACTCGGGCGTTACGTGAAACTTCCTAATGTTTTTATTTAAAATGTATTTATATTTCGATAATTCAGGTAGCGATATTGTAATATCAATATGGCCAATTAGTGTAAACCATCTACATCGCCATCAAATTTTTAATGAATCGTATGCTGACCTTTTATACTTGTCGTTCGTTTCAGGTGCTTCTTGCGGACGAAGACATCCTGGACAAAGTGAAGAGTGAGTTCATGATGCCCCAGACTGTGGTCTCGTATGCAAGCTACTCGGCCATAGCTATCGGCATCTTTCTCCTCCTTGTCTCTCTCTCCATCTTCATATGCTGTCCCAAACCACTCCAGGTGACACTCACTGTTCTATGACGTAATTGCTATTACAGTGTTCTATGACGTAATTGCTATACTTGGAAGAAAATCTGAAAGATATATTTTTGGTGGGGGCTATTTTCATGCGCGAAGGACCGAATGGGCGAAAAAACTCTGAGCGAAGGACCGAAAACGAAATTAGCCGCAAGTCAATTTAAAAAAAGCAATTGCCATTCAGTTAAATTAAGCAATTTTTGCTTCTTTCATAAAGAAACCCTTGAAATATAAAATTTGTTCCAATTCGGCGGTAGTCAGTGACAATTTGAAAATTCTGCATATTTCTGCCGTTTTTATATTCGGCCAATATCAATATTCAGGTCCCTGGAAATGTTCACTTTCTTTCCAAATTTTGGATTACTGAATTCTTATTGGCTAATTTTTTTTTCGCGCATTCGGTCCTTCGCGTATGAGGGATTTCACCGTATTTGGTGGGTCTAGGACAACAGGCCGACGGGACTTCAGGCCGAAGCTTGAACTTTACAAGCACCTTAAAACACTATTTTTTCATCTGTAAAACGTTGCTTTTCCAAAATTTAGGCAAGTTTAGTCCATCAAATGCGTTATTCATGACAATGCACCGCTTGGGATTGGCATCGGTTAATAACATCAGCCGGTTTTTGAAATGCCTAAATTATAAACATGAAAAACACTTTCAACCGTGTTTTATTTTTCAACTTTCCTAAACATCATTTGGAGGATTGAATTTTATGAAAACGACAATAACTAGTAAAGAAAGATCCTGAAATTCCAAAATTCTTCAATAAAATTTTCAAATTAATCATATTTCACAAGTTTATAAGAAAATAATCGGCTTGAAGTCCCTTATTTTACGATTCGGCTTGAAGTCCCGTCGGCTTGATGTCCGGCAGCCATATTTGGTTTGTCATGTTTTTTACCTTATGGCATGGCTTCATTCTTTTTCGATTTTTTAACCCAAAGAAAATTGCGTAAACTAGATAATAGTTTGTTATTCGATGCCAAATAAACAGGTAGTGAAAAAAAATCCGAATGTTTCAGGCAAAAAGAAAAGTTGGTATATTTAAGTAACTCTTTTTAAGTGTCAATGAGCGAAGCGAAGACAATTATTTAGGTCGAGTTGTTTTTTACCCTTTTTCCAGAAATTCTTATCAACCTCAATTATGATTTCCATGGTTTCACGTTGATTTCTCATGAAGCTCAATTCAAATTATTCTTTTGCTAAAAGAAAGTCAAATTTCGGCTCTCCAACAACATAATTGCAAATGGCTCGAAAAACTTAAATTACTTGAAGTTTCACAAACTGGACTTTTCCGAAATCCCAATACTCGGCTTTAAAGTTTTTTTGTTAGAGTTAATCGGCTGAGTGGCATCATATTGCATCGGTGGCCGAGTGAAACAAGTTGCTTATGCGTGTGAAGTTTTTTGAAGGGGTAATTCAAAATATTTTGAAAGTTATCATGTTTTTTATGCAATGTTTTTTAAACATTTTTGAAAAAAAAAACCATTTTTTAAAGTTTTTTTTTCTGTTTGATTTGTATTTTCATTTGCTGCTAATCATAGTCTTAATTTTTTGTATAGCAAGCAAGCGAAGCTCCTCTTTAAAAGTTTTCTTTTTTTTGTTCCGATCGTTAAAGAGCACTGAATTATTACATGCAATAATTGTGATCGCGATTAGCAAGCGTTATCAATTCGGAACGTAAACTTATTCTTGTTAACAACTTGTCCTATAAAATCACCAAATACTTATCTCAAATCAGCATTTTCCTCAACCAATGGATATACCTTGAGCATTTTTTCATTTAAATTACCTACTCTATTAAAATTTTGTTTTCTACGTTGTTTTTAGTTTTATTCAAATTCGATTTAGTCTTGGCTCTGCTGGTGTCTGCTCAAAATTTTCGGCTTTAATACTGTTTTTTTTCTATGCTAATATAACTTTCAATTTTCTTTTTCGCCGTGTTTTTTTTTGTAAAATGAATTCATTCAAGGAAAAGTTATGAAAGTAAAAATAGATCTAGCTGTTGTCGACATTTTCAAAACTTTTTTCGACATAGCAGCTTTTGTCTCAATTTCAGTCTACTCTTTATCTTAGTGTTTGTGTTTTATCGCAATTGGTGTGAATTTTGGTCGACTTCGTTACCGCAGAACAGGCGCGGATCTAGGAATTTCTCGAGGGAGGGGGGGCTTATTTTCAAAAAAAAATTGAAAATTTTTTCGACTTTTTGTTTAGGCCGACCAAATTGATTTTCTGAGCTCTCCCAAAGCACTACAAAGGCCCTAATTCGACCAAATTTTCTGCGACGCAGGCAAATTTTGAAAAAAAAACAGGCCAGAAAAAGAATTTTAAGGCACTTTTTGGGAAATTTTGACCAAAAAATCGCGTTTTTTCGGCGCGCGCTTTTCTTTAAAATTAGTATATATTGGCGCCAAAGGAGCCCTTAGAAAAATTTTAGGGTCCGTCAGCCGAAAATGGATATCTCAAAATAGTACAAAGGGGGACCCTTTTGGGTCGGCATAGGGTCGAAAATTTGCGTTATAGAAATCGGGTACTTCAGTAGCTTGAGCAGTTCTCAATTTAAAATATATAATCGACATGAAAAAAGAGTTGTTTGCTCTTCTTTCAGATTAACAATTTGTTAATTAAAATCTTTGAGTCATTTTATAGCTTATTTTTAATTGGCTCAGCGTCCTAATCTTCAGGTATGACCCGGGGTAACGCCCATGTCTGGCGCGTGAAGGTCCACGGTTCAAATCGGGCCAAATAACAATTTCGACTTGAAAAACTTATCGTTGTCTCCCATTTTTTGTCGGCCTTGTCGCCGCGGCATGGAATCTTCTGGCGATACAATCAATTTTCATTATAATCCAAGATACTTTTGCTATGCTGCGCTGTTATTTTACAGGCAGTAGAGTTCCAAAAAAATTTGCTGAAGCTTTTAATATTCATTCTTCTCTCAGTCATAAAAAAGCAATGAATGGAGCCATCTTATGTTGTGACATTGCCATAATTCAATGTTTCATCATTTCTTACAGTAGCGAGTTAATGAGCGTAGTGCTTTGGTATAATCTTCTTTTTTTTCAGCCTAACTCGCGAATTAAAGTGCTCATTTGGTAGCACTTCTGCTAAAATCACCATCTGTAGCATTGGAAGTTTCTTCACTGTTGATTCGTGGCTTTCTGTTTATTCATAGCATCTGAAATTTCATAACGTCTGCTTGATTTATGTCTAATATTTACTGAGCATTAAGCGTAGGGATGGGTTGAGACTCCAAATGATGAGGTCGCAGGATTGAATCCGATACAAAGCAAAAGTCTTACTAAAAGAGGCTAATTTCTCTTTTTTATTTCTTTTTTATAGAGCTGCTTTTCTAAGAGTCCATGAACGTTGTTCAGAATCTTTTATAGGTCGCGATGATTTTTTTTTGCAGGAAAATTGTTTAAGAGTCATGAACCTAGTGGTACTCTTATATAGGTCTTAGTGATTTTTTTTCAGGAAAAGAAATTTGTTCACGCTCAATTTTAATTTTTAGCGGTTTGACTTGTGATTTCTTTTTAAGTTTAGTGCATTTCCATGTTAAAGTAAAATTTCCCAGCGAAGTAAAATTTTCTATCATTGATCAAGTTTCCTCAAATTGGTGTAAATTTAACAAAAAGGTGTTCATCATAAATTGTTCTACAACTTCAAAGAGCTTTAAAGCCTTCTTTTTTTTCTTGGAAGTTAAAAAGTTGAATGTTTTTGGGAAAAAAACAAGTCAGTTGTTTTTTCAGTTGACTTGCGTTCATTACTCTTTTCCAACTGTCAGTTGGCTATGTTAAAATTAATTGAAGCTCAAATATGCTTTTTCGCGGTATGACTTTTGATTTCCTTTTCAAGTTCAATTATTTTCTTTGTTAAAATGAAGGAAAATTCCACTATCGAACAGCAAAAATGTAAAGGTCACGAAAAAGTGGAATTTAATTTACATATTTCTCAGCGGAATAAAAAAATTACGTTTTGATCCAGTTTTCTTAAATTGGTCAATCTGAAATTTAAAAAAATCAATCATAAATTGTGCAAGAATTGAAAAAGCGTCGATTTTTGTCTTAGAAATTCCAAAGTTGAATTTAAAAAATTCAGTTTTGTTCTTTTTACTTGCTTCATTGACTCTTTTCGAAGTCTTTCTTGGCTATTTCATCAACTATGTCAACCTTTTCAGTTTTTCGCAGCTTTTCTTTTCCTTCAACCTGACGTTTAAAGCAGCTTTTTTTTCCTTCAACCTGAAGTATTTTCTTTTCCTTCAACATGAAGTATTGAGCTGCGTTTGCAAGAAAACTGAAAGACTGCAGTGAGTGCTGCCTTTGAGTCTCCTCAGTAAATATGCATATCAGGTTTTGACATGAAACATGAATTTGAAGCGTCTGCGAATGCTTTCGAACGCGTTTTTGTCCTGAGGAGGTCGTAAGTTTCCCTGAAATAGACGAATATACGTGCAAAGTATCCATGTCGACTCTCTTAATTTCTTAGTTTTTATCTTTACTTACCGTTCGTATCACCTTGCAAGATTTTTCTCCACACTCACCCTTTCCCCCTCCCCAAATACGGCCTTAAATTCTGAACTGTTTCAAAAACGAAACCAATGAACTTCTTTTAAACCACTGGTTAAACGAAACTAACCATTTTTTTTAGATTTTCAAAACCGAGACGAAGTCTCCTTTCCTCTTTTGTTCTAACATATTTTAAACCTAGCTTAATAAAACAGCCATACAAAGTAACTAACGAAGTTCCTTGCCCAAGCTTCACCCTCTAAAGATATTTGTATTCCTCCACCCAATCTTGTCCCCAGAACAATCCTTCTCCATAAATACCCGCTGTAAGCTATCCCAACTCCTTTTAAAAACACTTAATTTCCCGACTAGACACCTACCTTTTCCCTCTATGCCTAACCTGCTCCCTTACATCCACACTACGTGCCACTTTTTCAACTGTCCCCAAAACCCCTCCCTACTTACCCCTGCAC